TTGTATGATGTAAACCAGTGGTGGCGAACCTATGGCACGGGTGCCAGAGGCGGCACTCAGAGCCATCTCTGTTGGCACACGCACCATCACCCCGGTCCTAGGCCTTCAGCTGGGTTTTATAAAACCTTTTTGTTATAGGCCTCTGCTGCTGTATGCAAAAAAAAAAAAAGTTTCAATCAATCAGTCAATTTCAACCTCACAGGGGAAAAAAAGATCTTGCAAAGTTGGAATTGATTGATTGATTGAACTTTTTAGTCCCACCCAGTCTTCCGTTATCATCAAAGCCACGCCCACCCAATGGGCCACACACCCCAATTGGCCAAACCCAGCCAATGGGCCACACCCATCCGGCACCCGACAATGCATAAGTGGGTTTTGGGTTGCAGTTTGGGCACTCAGTCTCTAAAAGGTTCGCCATCACTGATGTAAGCTGTTCCATATAAAGTGCAATTTATGGATGGTAATGTTGTCATTGCCCATGGTGTTCAAGTTATTACTATTATTGTTATTCAAATTTCTTATAGCCATCTACCCAAGTAGACTCTGAGCAACTTATAAAATACAGGTAGTCCTCGACATATGACCACAATTGAGTCTAAAATTTATGTTGCTAAGTGAGACATTTCTTAAGTGAATTTTGCCCTATTTTATGACCTTTCTTGCCACATTTATTAAGTGAATCACTGCAGTTGTTAAGCTAGTAATACAGTTGTTAAATGAATCTGGCTTTCCGATTGACTTTGCTTGTCAGAAGGTTGCAAAAGCTGATCACATGGCACTGGGATATTGCAACCATCATAAATATCAAATCAGTTGCCAAGCATCTGAATTTTGATCACATGACCATGGGGATGCTGCCACGTTGTAAGTGTGAAAAACAATCATAAGTCACTTTTTTCAGTGCCATTGTAACTTCAAACGGTCATTAAACAAACTGTTGTAAGTCAAGAACTACCTGTACAAATATAGAGAGAAATGGGTAACATGTCAAGATTTACTAATACAGGAAGAAGGAGAATTTAAGACAAAGTCAAGAGAACAATTGACAGCAGGGGGATATTCTGTCCAATGGTTTTCATGTGCACAATTAAGAAAAATGTTTAATATAGGTAAAAGGTAACTGGACTTGAGCAACATAAGACAGAATTGGAAATTGAATTATATACAAATGATGAACATGTGATATTAAAAATATACAAGCTTTTATTAAGGTTTGAAACTGATGAAGAATAAGCTAAGTATTACATGATAAAAAGGATTGTGAAGTTTGGTTATACAAATGGAGACACAGGAGAGTAGGTGGATAAAGGAAGTAACATTCACATTTTGTTATAAATGAAGAGAGTTTTTTTTCTAATAAAACTGTATTATTGGTAGATGACTCTAGAGAAATGATCAAAGATATATAAAGGTACCTCAAATCAATGATAGAAATGCTAAAAACATGGACATTTTATTATGCATGGTAGATTTATGAAAAAGCTAGAAAATTTTGGATAGAAATAAATACAATGATATAAACGTCATAAAGGTTAATACTGAAAAATATCGAGAAAAAGCCAGATATTTTCTTGTTGGAATTTATAGACAGTAAAATAGAAAAACCCATGGAAGACTGATTTTACACCTGGTTACTCCAGCAAGACTATTATCTGCACCACAGTGGAGGAATATTGAAATTCCCACAGTGGAGAAATGAGTTGTGAAGATGTTGGAATTGTCAGAAATTTCAAAACTGACCTGTTTACCCAGGATAAAACAATAAGTACTTTTTTTAAAAAAAGAATGAAAACCTTTTATAGATTTTTTTTTTGCTGAAAACAGAGAAAAGTAAAGTGATGATTTACTGGGAAAAACTAATCGAGGAGCTGAAGGATTTTTGTAATATTGAGGGAGTCTGAATATTAAGTTTGTTAATTTCTATTGCAAAGAAGGTTGGAACTCCTTTATTTTTCCTACTTTTAGTGTTTTTTTTTAATCTTTCCTTTTTGTTGTTTTGCTTTCTGCTCTTTTTATCTTCATTTCTTATATTTTCTTTTCAATTTGTCTTGTATTGCTTGAAAAATGCTTTCATAAACATTTTTTTTAAAAAAATAACAAATACCCAGAATACCACATACTATCCATGAGAAATTGATTAAAATTCTTTTCACCTTTGTGGGAAATTTCAAAAGCAAATCTACTTTTATCAAATTAAATGAGAACTGCTGGAGAAATAAAAACTGCTGAAGAATTTGTGTTCACGGCACTATTGGTGGTAATAAAATTATTTTTGGGCAGCTTCAAGGCCTGTAGGGCAGTGTTTCCCAAACTTGACAATTTTAAGGCATGAGGACTTCAACTCCCAGAATTCCACAGCCAGCAACGCTGTGGAATTCTGGGAGTTGAAGTCCACATGCCTTAAAATTGTCAAGTTTGGGAAACACTGCTGTAGGGGAAGGAGTGCCAGAACCTGGGGGCAGAATTAAAAGAGGGATGAGCCTAGAATCTCTACATTGCCACAAGCAACTAAGTCCAAACCACCACCCCCCCTTGAATTCTGTTGACTCTTATCTAACTCCTGTCAGGTGCTAACTATTAGTTGAGAATATGAGTAGCAATAAATCAGTTTAATTGGACTTTCACAGTATGTACTTCATCTTTCACACCTGACAAGGTTCTCTTCCAATGGTTCTCTTTTGATAAATTATGTCAGACTGAAGACAGGTAACCATGTTACTAATCATGGACTTCAGTGTCTGACTGTGAAGAAACTAATTCACAGAAGGACAATTTTTCATTGATTTTTCTTGTTTTGCTTTTAATTATCGTGGAGTTTGAAAATGTTTTCTCCATTGTGTCAATCTCTTGTCTTTGATGTGGCCTTAAAATGTGATAAATTAAAAACAATTACATAACAAATGGTTTCAAAAGTACTTGCTTATGGGGACTAATGACCCAAGGCAAATGTACTTATCTAATAGTTCATTACAAAAAAAAGAATATAAGTAGCTTAAGTTTGAACTGTGGAGCCTTTGGAGCTCTCTGAACTTGTTTGTTTGCAGACATTTCATTACTCAAATAGGTAACATCATCCGTGCTAGTGAGTATTGGGTTGGCTCCCTGTTTATATACAGTAGCTTGCCCGGCCTGTATTGGAGGGCATATAGTTTTCTCCTTGGTAGTTTCTTGATTGGGGAATTGTTTTCTGCTTGTTTGTCTGGTGTTAATCAAACATTTTTTTAAAAAGTTGCAAGAGTATCCATTTTGTTGGCAGATGTTGTATAGGTGATCTGTTTTCTTTTTTCTGGTGTTCCGAGTTGCTGCAGTACATTTGTACTTGTCTGAATAATATTCTTACACAACTCCTCTTGTAGGAGGTCATTACAAACTGTAACAAACTTTGGCTGTAACACTGCATTTTTCAACCTGCTGCTTGCTGGTGCCTTTGTTTCTCTATCCAGACATAAATTGCCCTTTCCTGGCATAGTGTTTTCCAAGGGCTGGCTGAGGATGATAGGAGTTATAGCCTAACATATCTGGAGGAAACCAGGTTGGGAAAGGCTTCTGTATTATTATAACAATGGTTCATATTAAATAATGGAGGGGGAGGGGGGAAACACTCAGAAACCGCCAAGATTTATATGTGTCTTTCCTTTTACAATTAATCAGAATAACAATAACAATTAATTACAGCTCACATGTACAAAACATTTCCCAGCCTTCCTTCCACACCTACATGTATGATTCATTGTGACTTGCAGGCATCATCCTACAACCCACAGTAATAACCATGAATGTCACATGAGGACAGGAAGTGAAGGCTCTCACTCTACCTAACTGAACCCCAGAGGAAACAAGAGTTCTGCTGATGGCTTAAGCACCTTTGATTTCCTACTCAAATATAAGCACATCCATTTTCAGGCAAATCCACCAGATGCACCCCCAGAAAGGCAAGGCTCATGCCAAGGTTTCTAAAAGAAAAAGCAAGCATAACACCCCTCATCGATACTCTTGTGAAGTGCCACACTGTGATTCACAAAGAGAACCACACCTTTTGAGTCATTGTTACTAAGTACTTCCTGTAACAACTTAGCCGTCCACAGGAACTTTCTGCTGCTTTTGACAGTCTATTTCAGGGGTAGGCAACCTTGGCTCTTTTATGACTCGTGGATTTCAACTCCCAGAATTCCTGAGCCAGCATGGCTCAGCTGGAAACCTCTCCCTTTCCCTCAGCATGGCTGGCTCAGGAATTCTGGGAGTTGAAGTCCACGAGTCATAAAAGAGCCAAGGTTACCTACCCCTGGTCTATTTCAATTAAGAAATAGTTTGATCGGAGGGGGTTCAGATTGTGCGATGGAAGTTATCAGTTATGCATCAAACAACAGGTGGCTAAATAGTGTATATGATGTATAATGCATCTGCAGTACTATGCTTTCCTCTTGACCAGCGGTTCTCAACCTGTGGGTTGGGACCCCATTTGGGGTCGAACGACCATTTCACGGGGGTCGCCAAACAACGCAGTCCGCCATTTTTTCCCCCTTTTCCTTAGCTGTGCTACTCCCTTTTATTCTATTGGCTTTTGAAAGCCAATAGAATAGACTCTCTTGAATAGAGTCTAATTCTATTGGCTTTCAAAAGCCAATAGGAATTGTCCAGGCTGTCTCTGCCCTGCTGAGCCCACCAAAAGTCCCATTCTGCAAACAGTGCTGCAAGTTGTCTGCAGCAAAGGCGAGCTGTCTGGAAGTTTCCACCCCTCCCTGCTGAGCAACTACTAAAAATGTAAGTAAAAGAGGGCCAGGGGTGGGAGGTGGGAGGCCGGCGGGCGCAGGGAGGGTTGCTGGTGCGCGTGGGGCCTGGTGGGTGCCTTACCTCCCTTGGGTTGGGCTAGCTGGTGGCCCAGCCGGTGGTTGGCCTGCTCCGTCTCTGCTGCTTGCCAGCTACGCCTCGGCCAGCACAGGGGGGTAGCACCATGCATGCGCAGTGCTCTCGGGCAGGGAAAGTCCTCGACTTATGACCGGTTAGGTAGTCCTCAACTTATGACCGGTTGGGTAGTCCTCAACTTACAACCGGTTGGGTAGTCCTCGACTTAACGACCAGTTGGGGGTTGTGGCATTAAAAAGGCTGAGAACCACTGCTCTTGACATTCTTGGAAAGCAAGGTGGAATAATAACTAAAAATATATTTGCAACAAAACTTAAATAAGGTTAATAGCATTTACTACAATTCATCCCTGTGCTTTTACCTCTTGATAAATTGGATTGAGATCTGCTAATTTATTTTGTATAATACACTCCTTCCTTCCTTCCTTCCTTCCTTCCTTCCTTCCTTCCTTCCTTCCTTCCTTCCTTCCTTCCTTCCTTCCTTCCTTCCTTCCTTCCTTCTCAGCATTATCTTTAACTAGGAGTAGCTTGGCCCTAACTCAGTGAAAATTACAGTATAACATTGATAATAAAGATATCAGACTGGTTTTTTTAAAAAGTGGATGTTAACACCCTGACAATGATACTATGGGGAAATGATACTAATGTACGGAGTTAAAATTACCATTCAAATAAATTCAGGAATATCCAGTTAAAGAAATACTATTCACAGAATATTGAAGATATTTGAGAAATAATTACCTATTTTGTCTAAATTCTCTTAGCCAAATCATACACTCTCATGATAGTCCTGTAATGACTAATAGAGTAGTTTCTAATCAAAATACCCTCTGAGCTTCTAGGAGGTATCTGTGTCTCCTTTAGAATCAAGAGATGGATGATTTCTCAAGGAACTCTAAATAAAAATAAAAATATTTCTAATATTTTTAGTTACAGTATTTCTAGGCTGCAGGCTTAAGCTCCCATATAAAAATAGGCTGGAAATGAAGCTGGATAAAAAATCAGTTTCTGAACTCCAACTTTCTTCTCTGCTTTGGCCATGGCTTACCATAACTCCTGCTTGGTGGAACACCCCTCCCCCGTATGCTTCTTTTTCATACCAGGAAACAAATACCAATATCCTTCTCTTCTGTGGATGAGTCTTTAAAAACAGTTGTTTCCTTTGTTAGGATGTTTATATGAAGGAATGTTTGTATGATGTTTGTATGAAGGAAGGAAGGAAGGAAGGAAGGAAGGAAGGAAGGAAGGAAGGAAGGAAGGAAGGAAGGTTTTTCATGGCTCAATCAGTGAACTTACAAAAAAGTTGAACCTTTCACTTTTGATCAGTGAAAGAATCAACTAACCGTTTTTTTTTTATTATTCTAGCAATTCATTTCCTCCTGGTCTTGGTTTTTTTCACCAAATTGTTGAGATATAATTACAGCACAAGCAGGCAGGTGAACAAAGTGGAAACTAGGTAAAGAGGTGGGCACAAAAAAGCTAAAGCAAACCTGAAAAAGTTCACCATGTCACTGGTCCACTTGTGAAACAAAGAAGGAAACAGGTCCATCAACTTAGTTCAGGCATTCTGGCTTTTCCTTTTCTTCCTAGTATTTTCTCACAAGTGCAGGGTCTGCTTTTTTCAGATCAACCAAGATTTGATCCCAGAACAAAATGCCAACTCGAAGGGAAGGGAGTGATTGAAAGGGAGAGGTTTTCCCACCATTGTTCATAATAGCTAATTGGAGTGGAGATGTTTCTCTCTAGTCTACAGAAATGAAACAGGGCATTAGGAAAACATCATTTTCCTGGCTCATGACAGGAAAGATGGGTACAGTCTATCTTCCTGATGGGCTGGGGTGGATAGAAGTTGCCATTAGAGAAATAGTTAGTAGGGCAACCTGGTCATAAAGATTAACCTTAATTGCTGGGCAGGCTGAGAAAGAGGGTGGAACTGAATCCTGCCAAGCAAGTTTGGGCCAGACATATTTGTTGCTAATAAGTTAAGGTGATAATTTGCAACCTTTTCAAATCACCTTCTTCAGAATGATAAGGTAATGCTCAAGAATGTTCTGGAAAAGCAGTACTAATTTGAAGACGTGAGCATGTCTCTTCCCTGGCTGAGGAAACGTCATTGACGCTGGGGATGAAGAAGAAAAGAACAGGGAGAAAAAAGATGGAGATAGAATACATCTTTGTAGAAATGTATTATATTACAGCTCTCTACTCTGCTTTATAAAGAGCTTCATTCCAAAAGAATTGCTGTTTATCTAAGTGCCAAAATCTCCCTACTCATTGAGGTATGCATAATTTATATATATTGTTCCTACTATATTAAATAAGTATTTAAAGAAAGGTGCTGAGACCCCATTTTGCAAACTAACTCTAATCCATTGGTTGCTCCTCTCTCATAAGTAATTTATATTTTTATAAACCAACAAATTTACACATTTATCTAGATTCCTGTGACTAGCAGGCAGGCCATGATTTTGGAAAAGACAATAAAGCAGAGCTTGTCCCATCCATTGTTTTTCAATTGATCATTACCATTTCAGGAAAACAACCTCCTTTTCTCATGTCAATTATAAATAACCAAATAAAACCATCCACCCAACCACCAGCCCACCAAATTACCTAAACTAGTGTTTTTCAGTGTCAGCAACTTTAAGATACATGGACCTCAACTTCCAGAATTTCCCAGCCAGCATCAAAGCCCACACATTAAAATTGCTGAGATTGAGAAACACTTATCTAAACACTCAAATCTTCTTGAGATTCAAACTAGTATACAATAAATCATGGACAGCCTGAGATGAGTAGCTGGTTCCAAATCCCTTAAGAGTGGGAAATTTAACAGTATCACAACCAAGATGTTTTCAGTAAATGTTCACAGGCAGATGATAAAGACAAATATGTGCATATGGTATTACTAGCTAACATGACACCTACACTAATATGCACTCAGATGTCTGCCAGATTTTCCCCAATAGTATTTGGTGGTGTTTAACAATACCAACTAAGCTCTCATTCCCCTTCATATCATCCCTGCTGGCTTTCATTGTTAGGCATATTTGTGCTTGCACTGTCAGACCAAACAGAGGGAATTTGACCTGGCAGGTCCAGACCTGGTACAAACCTTGGCATGATGGCATTGTAGGTATGCTATTCACAGGCTAGTTTCCCATCAAAGCTTGAGAGGGCAATGGCAAAAGCCTGCACAGCACAAAGTGGGTAATTGTAGTCCATGGTAAAAACATCATCGGCCACTCTGCCAAATTGTAAGACAATGTATTCAGCTGCAGGAAAGAAAGACAACATTATCAGGTGAGCAGGTAAAAAGTTTACCATGAAACTTTTGGTCTTGTGCAGGACAATTTTTCCAGGACAAAACTGAACCAAGGTAGATGGAAGTGGATTACTATTAATAAAGGGGACCGAGGAGATATTTTCCCCTACGCTTTTTTTTTTGGTCTGTTTTAGCATTGTTCATTCTAAAAGGAAAGGCACAAGACAGCCTGGGAGTGTGGATGTCCACAGAGTATGGTCAAAAAAGTCAAGATGGTGGCTGCAACAGTGCAACTGAATCTTTACCTGATTTTTTATATGTGTCATAGAGCTGTGATCACACATCATGATTGGCATCCAAACTTTTCTTGAACACACCCTACAGATACCTCTGCATGGGAGAATCCTGGCCACAGACTCTTATGCCACCTAAGAATATTCTGCAATTACACTATTTCCAGCACAAAGAGATTGGCAGCAAACAGACATGAAGTAAATACAGTCATTAGATAATTTGCACAGCAATCAGTTGCACTGAAAGACGGGAAAAGAATTTGGGGAAATAAAGCTGAATCTGTGATCTATTGCCAAGAGAGGGGGAGGATACAACAGAAAGAGCAATTCACAGAGCAATAAGAAAAGTTGAATGAAACTCCCATTCTCCCACAACACACATACCTCATCAATATCCTTGCTCAGCTTCTGGACTAGACACTCAATTTAAAAGTAGGATAATTATTATAACATATCTGCTACAATTGTCAAGACACTGTAATCTGAATCCAATTGCCGTGTATTGTCCCTCAAAACAGTATTTGGCTTATAGTGCAGAACGTAACGCTTCTAAATGGAAATCTTCTAGCATTACAAATACACAAGCATTGCACAGCTATTTCATCTTGTCCATAATAGAGAAGATGAATAACAGAGCAAGAATAAGAAAGATTATCTTGACAGAGGTACAGAGCTGCTGTCTACACAAAAGGAACTGAAGTAAATGTTTAAGTCCAGAATGTCCAGATAATGTTTGGAAGCAGCTCAGACAGACCCCTCCCTGATTCATTGAATTTTAGGAAAGAGGAGCAGGAGATGCAGCACAATCAGAATTGCAAGATTGATGTCAGTTTCACTATAGAGACCAGATCACAAGATCAATTCCACATGATGGCTAAAACTACTTTTATTGAAACTGGCTATGATAAGAGAAACTTGCAAGAGGGATATAGAAAAATGTGCTTTCTCTGCTGCAATGCTTGCCATATGGCACCCTAATTCTCATGAATTCTGAACGTCCCTTATCTTGTCAATCTTCTGTAAAGCTTTAAAGCAGAAGCCTCCAAACTTGACAGCTTTAAGACTTGTGGACTTCAACTCCCAGAATTCTTCAGCCAGCCATGTTGGCTGAGGAATTCTGGGAATTGAAGTCCGCAAGTCTTAAAACTGCCAAGTTTAAAGATCCCTGCTTTAAAGACTTGACTTTTCCAGCCGGCAATAGGCAGGGATGGCCTCAGGTGCACTTAATTTGATTGCCATTATAACTGTTTTCAATTATTTTGGATTGTTGCTGTTTCAGATCTTACATTAGCCTGCCAGTATCCCACTTGTGAACTGAATAGCCATATAAATTGTTTTTTTTTTGTTTGGTTTTTTTGAAGAAAGAAAGCTTTCAAACTGCTAGGTGGGGCAAGGAACGAAAGCTTATCCCATTGCACAGTGTTAGGGTCTCAAACCTGGGATGTCAGCTTTCCAGCTGACAGACTCAGCGTCTTTAACCACTGAGCCTGAAGATCACATGCAACAAAACAAAAATATTCAGATGCTAAGGGGATGAGTGTGTAATGAAACAGAGGAGAACCCAGAAGGTTTAGAAATTGACTGGTCACCGGCTGGGCAATGAATGGCTGATGTCTCTTCAACAGAGTTATTAAGCGAGTCCTATTTCCCCCCCCCCCCAGCTAAATGGACCGAGAATAAAAACAGGTTTGTGTCCCCTCCAAAAGATGTGCTCTTTCACCAGACCTCTGTGGCCTCTCTGATTCCCTGTTTTAATTGTGACTCCCTTTGTTTGCAGCGAGGGCAACAAGAAATCTGTAAAAATAACTGGGGCCCTGAGCAGGTTCTTTCTATCCTGTAATCCTACACCACCACCACCACCCCCCCCAGATAGTAACATCTCCTGATTGGGCTGGACAGGTGACAAGCAGACAAGTCACACAGGCTGAAAATTGCTTGGCTGCTGCTGTTTACTGTTCAGATGTAGATTGCAGAGTGTGCCTATGTCCCCACTATATACGCAAGGTGGAAGGAAATGTGTTGCGATAATATTTGGTCCTCATGTATCAAAATCAAAATAATTGCTTGGATTGAGTATTAAACTAATAAGAAAGCATAATAAACATAAACATTAGAATCTCATTGACCACACAAAACACACATTTAAATTCCTAGATCCCATTTATATGAACGCAACATAATAAATTCATATCAGGAAAGAAAAAAGTTGTGGTCAATATCATCCATGTGCTTTCACCAGGAGAGCACAATGAAGGATAAGTACCATCATATAATCAGAATCTGAATTAATAGCTTCTTAAAAGTAAATAGGCTATAGGATTCTTTATCTGGATCAAATCCATGGCAGATAAAGTATAGGGATTATGACCTTTTCCATATATCCCACCCAATCTTGATTAGCCTTTGGTGTCTTCAACTTGCACTGAAAGAAAAATTTCCATTGGGAACTATTTTTGCCAATGAATATCAGTCATGGAAGGCCTGACTGAAACTGGACAATAATGGAAATTGTAGATATATAATATAATCACTCAGAATTACCTGGTGGTAAGATGGACAGCCAATACATTTTAAAAATATATAAATAAATATACTGTGTTGTGTACATTATATAGGATCATCTTTATACCTTGCCAGACACTCTACACTTATTTGCTTTTTTTAAAATCACACACATAGTTGCTAATTTATCTATATTGGTTTACCTAATTTCTTTTACAGTAATGTTCTCTATTTACTAAGTAATACCTATTAACTTTCATTACAGTTTCACTTTTCCTGACAGACGTGAATCTAAATGAGATTCTCTTCTCTGTTTTATACTTTCATGGAATGGAATGTAGGTTAAAAGTCAAAAGCTTCTGCAGGACCAGGGGCTTTATTCTCATTTTTTTATCCTGAGATTAGAGATAACATACTTGTTATCTCTGAGGGCTGCCCATAGTTCAACAGAGAAATCTGTGAATGGTCCAGTGTGTCCAGCAACAGAACATGTACCACTTGATTTGAAACTCTGGATACATATCCCTCTTGACTATAGCCACATTTTCTTGGGGAAAAAAATAAAGGGCAAACCTAAAAAAGGGAAAAATCTGAGAGAAGTCATAAAGATTTTTTAAAAATTAATTGTTCATGTTATTGACTTTGATTTACAAAGAAAAATTCAAGAGCAACACAAAAAAGTTAAATAAATATGAAGGGCAGCTTTCTGAAATAAAGGACTGTCCTTTATAATAAAGGATATGTGGTCACTGTGCTTTTGACTGACAAAGAATGTATCAGTAACATTCTTTGGCACTTTGCCATCCTCAAAATATTTCTTACCACCAGGAAATGTAGAGACCTTTTCTTGAATTAGAGATTACAAATCAAGTCCAGTAAATTCTAAAATTATGCTAAGGTTCCGGATGTACCTTGCCCAATTTTGGAAGTTTTTGACTTTTCAGAAAACATCTGGCATGTTCTTTAATGTTTACTAGAGTTGTAGGAGTTTATGATCAAATGTTGGAGGGTACTGTATGGAAGCAAGTGAGCAAAAGAAAACCAAGCTTGCTTTTTGGATGGCTCAAACCATTCTAAACATTACTCCAGCCTGCCTCTTATAATGCTCCCTCTAGTGGACTGTTACTGTGTTCTATACAGTACTATCCAGGAGGACAATTGGATTTTTTTGTTCAGACCTGATTGCAAAATTCATCTCGTGTCCCTGGAATCATGATACATTATAGATTTCACAGAAGCCATCCTGAATTATCATTTGGAAATTGAGCAATTGTCTAATGCAATATGAAAAATACTTACTCCAAAACAGGTATATCTAACAAATGTCTTTGATGTTGCTCTACTAAGTATTCTAAACACCATAACCAAGTTCAAGAGAACAACCCTTTATTTCTTGAGACATACTCAGAGTGAAATTACCCTAAGTCAGTGGTTCTCAACCTATGGTCTGTGGACCCCTGGGGGGCCGCAATGTCATTATGGGGGGTCCTCAAAGACTTGAAGAAATGTTATTATTTAAATCTTGGGGGTCCGTGGCCATGGTTCATGTCCACAAAAGGTATTTAAAGGGGGTCTGTGGTGAAGAAAAGGTTGAGAACCACTGTCCTAAGCAGTCAGAGGACTAATTTCCAAGATCTGCTTTGCTTTTGGTTTGAGCGATTCATTTATGTACTCTTCAACAGTTGCCAAAAACATTTCACATGGCCACCTCCATATATACTGTAACTCTGAAAATCCTTATGTGATTGTGGAGATGTTCATAATCTCTGATACAGACAAATTGCTAAAGCTAAACAGATTAGGGACTGTTTGGATGGGAGATCCCTTTGAATTCCTTTAAATGTTGACTAGACTTTCGTGATGGAAATAAATAATTTGGAACAAAATGGAAAAGAAATGCACTATATACAGTCTTTGTTTTTCAATTAGATCTTAAAAACAACTTTTTCCTATACAGTTGCAGTTTCAAATGACTCATATGTCTCAGATTGTATGCATGTATCAGTTTGGTATGATTCTGAGCATGCCATCATAAATCAAGATTCCACTTTATAAATCAAGACAAATATTTAAAGCTAACTTTGTAGATTCAGCAAAGAGCTGTGGATTAGTTTACATATTCTGTTGAGCCCAATGTTTTGATTTGAATTCATTTTGTGGACCCAGCCAATTATGGTTTCCTCAACAAATCACGGTTAAACAAATCATGGCTTTGAGCCCAATCTTGTCTGTCAGAATACAAAACAACAACAACAACCACTGGTCCAGCCACTCTTCAGGGAGTACTGCCCCAAATTTTGATTAGATTCTTGTTCTCAGTAATGGACTAAATCCAGTCCAAGGGTATGTGCGAACAACCTGGTTTCACTTACATAGGATTCCTGAGATTAACTGGAGTGGGATTTTCATTGGAACCATGTTGGGGGAATAGAGATAAATGTACCCTCCTCCTAGGTCAATTTTAATTTCAATACTGTTTCCATGGCATCAGTTTCAGTATTTGAAATTGTATATGTTAATTAACCATGAGAACCAATTTGGTGTAGTGGTTAAAGCACCAGGTTAGAAGTTGAGAGACTGTGAGTTGTAGTCCTGCCTTCATGGCAAAGCCAACTGGGTGATCTTGGACCAGTCACTTTCCCTCTACCTAAAGAAGGAGACAATGGCAAACCACTTCTGAAAAACCTAGCCCAGACACTCACATCACTAGAAGTGTTGACTTGAAAACAAGTACATACAAAATTAACCACACTTCTCTTACACCATATTTAATTTGGTTCTGTCTACGATAGGAAAGTGGGACACATTCACATGGAGAAAACGCAGCCACATGGAAACTCTCTTCCCTCCTCCACTCTCAGATTTAGACTTGGTGAAGCCCTAAACTTGGAAGGCTTTTGATCTAAAGTTATACCAGAAAGTCTCAATAAAGTTGTATACTGAAATAGGTCATTGGGTTGCCACAAAAAAACTGGAAACATCTAATTATCTAATAGCATTTAAAGAGACAAATACATTAGTTTCAAATGAACGTGCAGTATATACTGATTAGATGTTTATCGTTTGTCTTGATCTCTCTCACAGATTATAATAGTACTGTATATTCTGGAAACAATACTTAAACACGAATTTTTGAAACAAAACAAAACAAAAAACCACCCTGAAAGTTTGTCAGGCCTTGCAAATTTTGAAACCCCAAACTCTACCTTGTTTTGCTTATGCCTAAATTTGGCACTGCCCTACTCCCTAGTTGTATCCCAACTTCTGGGATAAATGTTGATCTAATATGTCTCCCTTGAACAAGTAGGAAGCTAACCACCTCCACCAAAATAATGATGCGGGTCCTGCCAATGTCCCTATTAGATGGAGGGAAGACTGTTAAAGCAATTCATCAGCATTAAACTAATTTTTCCCATCCATACTGTTTGGATACCTGAGAAATGCTGTATTGATTAGATAATTTGCATCAAGGGAAGAAGAGAGAAAAAGCAAATGAAATATCAAAAAGGACTTTTTTAAAAAAAGGAATGGTAAATCTAATTGTATGTTTCCAGCCCATGAATTTAATTTTCTGGGAAAATGCTTTGAAACTTTGGGTGCCTTGTTAATCATAAAGCATCCATTGGGCAACACAATTCAGTGGCCCATTCCAGCAGGCAAGTCCAGGATTTCATTTTGGTTTTCTTGCCTACTTCCTTTTTGAATGGACAATACAGCACAATGCCTACTCTGACTCTGAATTTGCAGAAATGCTCTTACCTTAGCCATGGATCAAACTAGCAGCAGCTTTTCTGTCAGCACAAATATAGAAGCATTTTTTAAAAATCCACAATCCCACAAGACTTACGGTCATCACTGTGCACAATCTGGAAGTTCTTTACTGAGGCATGTGTAACTCTTCCATGGAAGTTCAGCACATAAGACTGAGTTTCATCATTCCATACTGGGGTTTTGTTATGCAGCTCAATTAAGCTGTCCATTATCTTATTCTGCCACCTTGTGAGTAACCCATCATTATCCTAGGAAATTGTGAGAAAAAGCATTACCACAAGTAATTCAAAAGCATATCTTCTTAAATATTTACTTGGTTATATTCGCATGAAGAAATAACACATGTAATACAATAGATTCTCATGGTGTACATCACAAGAAGTCCTCTAATATTTTTGAGCATAATTACAGTAACATCTTAGCCTTGCTACTCTTAAAAGTTGTGCACTGAAATTTGATATTAATATACTAAAAAACTAAGTATGCACATATTTGTTCCTCCAGGTTTCATGAATGGAGTTCAAGGGAACTTGCAAAGGACAATGTTCACATATAAATTATATATCAAAGCTTGCAATCCTTACCTTAGCTTTTGACAACCTGGTGCATATTGACTAGGAATTTTTGAATTGGAGGTCACAGATCAAGGAAGATTACCTTTGGCTCTTTCTTCAGATTTCAGAATCAATATATTTGCGGCAAATGTTTTGAAGAAAGAATCGTATCCATAGTGATGCCTCATGTACTCCATTCTTCCTCAGAGGACCTGAGATATGAGGTTTGTTTTTTGGAAGAAGATGGCCAACCAAGGATTTGAAGGTATATCTTCATGTCAAACTGGATGACATAATAAATGCTTATACAGCATTTGATCCAGTCTTGTTTTGTCAATGGAAACAATTTACCATTTATATTTATATTATATTGCTGGTTGAAATCCTTAGCTGCAGAACTTCTTTTTGCAACTTAGTGCTCTCTATATGTATTAATATAAAGCTTTTAACACTTTCCAACATGATGGGAATTGCAATTCCACACACAACTGGAGAATGCCAAGTTCAGGAAGATTGTTTTAGAAATAAAGCATTGGAAACACCCTTATATTTTCTATTCTAAAAGAAAGTTTTGCATTTTATATTTTTGCTGACACAAAATTTCATGGCAAAAAAATGCCTTTGTGACTAAATGTCTCCCAGCACATTTCAATATTTTATTTTATGGACCATGAACATCAAAGAAATGGTAACATGATGTCTACAAACATTGGGATTATTTAGAAGTAATGAAATCTTGTATGAAGGTTTATGCGTAACTTACATTTCGGGGACGGATTGGCACTCTTTCATTATCAGAATTCATTCCAGGAATGACCACTGTCATTTTTCGAGGTCCTTTGAAACCTAATACATTTGTCTCCTGAAATAGAAATACCAAAACGTTCATAACTGAGTTACCATCATACATCTTCACAACATGATCAACTTCAGCTGATCCTTAATAGTTTAAAGCCATTTTTCTGCTAGCCTGAAATCTTATATTGCACATGTCTCAGTAGTCCTAAAACCCAAGATTTAGTGTCCCAACACATATATGAAAGAAAAAAAAGGAAGGAATTTAAGGAAGGGAATGTGTCACACCTGCTCCTGCCAATCTCCTTCCTTATCTCATCTCCTTCTCCTCCCCATCCTTTGGTGCTGCTTTTCCCCATCCCTGCCACTGGGAGGTTGCTGCTTTCACCACTAGGGAATGCTGTGAAAATCTTGCCCCGTTGGTGCCCCAGAAAAGATCCTTGTGGAATGGTGTGAAGCTCAATCTCTACAGAAGCGCAGGTTATGTTATAGGACAGATGTCTTTCTGTGGGTCACCTCCTCTGACCAGAGGACTTAGGACTTTCCTTTGATTTCTGCCTGCCTCAAAACTCTGGAGAATTATTGATAATAACTCTCAACTCTCAACCAACACATATGTCTTGAACTGTTAAGTTGATAGAATCCATTACATTATAATAAAGTGGCTATATTGCATACTTAGGTAGACTAAGATCTAGAAGGGTGGTTCAAGAAATATGCAGATATAAAATTTAACTAACATAATACAATCCCTGTCAATCTAGATTAAATTACATTGTTTATTTGCAGATGAGAATTCCTTTAGGGGAAAAAATGTCTACAAATCAAATTATTCCCAACCACAACATATAGAACAGACATTTCTTCTTTTCTCCATATTATAATATACTTTTATTGACATTTGGATCAAGCTATATAGCTGCCAGGGGTGATTTTGCAGTGCATGGAAAATTCTTAAAATTCCTTGGTACTGATAAGCAACCTACCATCTTGGTATGGATTAGTCTAGTGGCTGCCTATTAAATAGAAGTTTAATGGGGAAATAGTTCACAGAATGGTTCCTTACATAAATAACAGCTGCAAGCTCCTGGCGTACATTGGACCAGTCAGCATTTGCTCTGTCTGGATTTACACCATTGTCAAACACCGAGAATCGAGTACCCATTAAATTGGATCTAAAAGAAAAGACAGAAATCAGACCCCTGGAACAAAAAAGGGCAGAAATTGCACAGCACTACTCTTCAGTCTGAGCAACTAGAATTTCTTTGGAGTGTCATTTTAGATTATACCCTGAAGTGGCTGCAACAAACCTATTAGGTTTTCAGTGTGGAATAGGAGAAGGAAATGGAAAGGTCACTCAATCAGGGCATCTGCTGTATTTCTAAACTCTGGGCCTATGAAATTGCAACAGGCATGCCTCTCCTTTTCCCTGGCTAAAACCTGCCCAACCACTGTTTCATATCTGCCCCCAGGGACAATTTCTGTTACAATCTGATAGCAAGATGTGTCTGGTTTGTTAGTTTATGCACTAGCTTGATTATCATTTTGGATCTAAGAAGTCCTGAGTTCTGAACTGAGACAGCTGTAACTCAGTGATAAGACCAAGCTCTGCATGACAAAATTCTGAGCTTTACACTTTGGTAAGCTTGGCAATGGCCACAGCCGAACGTTGCCTCCATGGCCAAGCCCTCCTCTTCTTCAATAGCAAGTCTAGTGAATAATGTCTGGTGCTGTCAATATAAATTTGAGATAAGTGGAAGAAAATAATGGGTGAGTTTCCTGGCTCTCTTTCTCCTCCCACTAAATGTCACCTGCAGTGGAAAAACAGCCGCTAATTCTGCCCTTAAGGTGTGGTGGGGTGGGGCAAGTATATAAGTGCTTTGAACAGCAGGCTTAGCCACCTGTCAAGCTGTCTGACTAACTATATTGTGCAATCAGATCCCTCTCCAGAAGCCTTGTCTTTTGTCACTCCTGCAGCCCAAGCCATGATGGCCATGGAGAGCAGCGCCCAGCAACCAGGGGAGAGGGAGTGTGAGCCAATAGCTAAATGTGACTTTAAGCTGTCTCAGCTGTGGGGCAATGAAAGAGCAACAAAACTGAAGAAGCAGGAAGGCAGATTGTCCAATCTGAGTTAGGACTGCATGGAAACTGAATTTAATTCACAGCATTATTAATAAAGAAATGATGAGATATTTTTGTGCTAAAAAATAAATGGGTCTCCAAGGAAGCATTTACCAAATCAGATTTTCAGTTCGGCTGAGGGTAAATTATATTAAATACATAATGTCACAAAGTATAGATAAAAACTATTAATATTGAGCCTGCAATACTCATTATGAAGTAACATCACTTTTATAACATTTGATAGCTTCCATAGCCTGAGGCTATGCATGGGAATACTTAACTTTGGAATCCAAACACATTTGTAGGGCACTAGACCAGCAATGGCTGGACTACTGCTCCCCAAATACAGTTTCCTGGGAACTGTAGGTGGGTTTTCTTTTTCTTTTTCTTTTTTCTGAAACTATGAAAAACTGTTAGAAATCTACATTTCCTCTCCAAATGACAATCCCATAAAGATAAGATTTATTAAACTTCTTAGATTGCTTATTAAATCTGTAATGGATTGAGTAGAATATTTGGTAAAGTTTGAGATGCCTTCAGGCAATTAACTTCGGATGGTGTGAAAAGACAATACAATTATGACTGCAATTCTAACGTCTGTGATGAAGAAGAAATGTTTTTTGAGAGGTTTTCTGCCCTAAACAAGTGATTCACTGGGTGATATTCATTTCTTTGTCCCAGCAAAAAACTGTGATGTGATCTGCTTTGTAGTAGAGAGTTGTTTCTCCTTGGCTCAAGACACTTTAATTTACATTCTTAATCTGCTTGGTTATCTGTTCTCAGAACTGCTGCATCAGTAAATAAAAGCTTTTATTGATACATCCTACCACTGTGCTGCACAGAAGGGTTTTTAATGGCACAAGCAGCATATATCTGTCCATTGAAACCCTCAGAACCATGAGTGCAAGACGGTTGGTATTCTAAAACGTCCCCTGAATTGACTTGCCAATGAGATACTGTATTGTGAATGTTCCTTCTCTTGCAGGTAGTACAGTAAGAAAGATGGGTGTGATGTTTGGTTCTCACAACAATAGCTTAAGAATGCATACATTACATGGTGCATACTTTGCAGAAGACTAAGTAACGGGAAAAAATTACATAGAACAGTTAAAGTATTGCAGATCGTACATATTTTTCATAATTGTATTCTTTTCCAAGTGTTCTCAAATACCCGGGGTTTTTACACCACCTAGAGTGAGCAAAAAATTCTTTCTTTCTTCCTTCCTTCCTTCCTTCCTTCCTTCCTTCCTTCCTTCCTTCCTTCCTTCCTTCCTTTCTTTCTTTCTTTCTTTCTTTCTTTCTTTCTTTCTTCTGAAGTTTTCGTGCAACCTGCAAAGGAGGGTAAAACAGCCCCATCCCCTCCTTAACCGGGAAATTGTTCTATAAAAGAGAAAATGTATGTGGTGCATGGGTATGTTGAGAAAAGTGTCAAGAGGACAGCAGAAACATGAGAAATTCTTTCTCTGAGGAAAGAGAAACTCCAACCTGAAGGCAAACACCTCAGCGTAGTGTGAGAGACAGTGAGAGAAAACTTCAGTTTTGGAGCTGCAAAACCGATGAAAGGCAGAGCTGAGAGACAGGGAAGGAAAAGAACCTGACTAGAATCTGCAAACCCAAGAGAGCCTGGCAACGAAACCAAGCCCACTGCCTGCAGCAGCCCAGGTGGAGGACAAGAAGCAATGGATGGAAACTAATCAAGGAGAGAAGAAGCAAACTAGAACTGAGGAGAAATTTCCTGACAGTGGAACAACCTGCCTCCAGAACCTGTGAATGCTTCAACACTGGAAGTTTTTAAGAAGATACTGGACAACCATTTGTCTGAAATGGTATACGGTTTCCTGCCTGAGCAGGGGGTTGGACTAGAAGACCTCCATGGTCCCTTCCAATTCTGTTATTCTATAACACTCTACAAACCATAGCTAGAAACACTGGATGGTGAGTACCGGAGGGGTGGGTGGGGAGAGAAAAGTCCATTCACAAGTCTGTAAAAGTCTATAAAAGAGTGAAAAGGGGTTTCACGTGCAAATAGACTGAGACTGAGCTGAATAGTTAAGATAAGGAAACATAGTGCAAAAGTAAGAACAGGGGACTGGAGGTTAAAATATATAAGGAACGGTTGCTGGAATTGGGTATGTCTAGTCCAGCCATTGGCAACCTTGGCTCTTTTATGACTCGTGGACTTCAACTCCCAGAATTCCTGAGCCAGCATGGCTCAGCTTGGAAACCTCTCCCTGTCCCTTCAGCATGGCTGGCTCAGGAATTCTGGAAGTTGAAGTCCACAAGTCATAAAAGAGCCAAGGTTGCCTACCTCTGGTCCAGTCTAATGAAAAGAAGGACCAGAGAGAGAAGCAACCCAGAACTAAGGAGAAATTTTCTGACAGTTACAACAATTAATCAGTGGAACAACCTGCCTCCAGAAGCTGTGAATGCTCCAACACTGGAAGTTTTTAAGACGAGACTGGACAGCCATTTGTCTGAAATGGTATAGGGTTTCCTGTCTGAGCAGGGGGTTGGAGTAGATGAACTCCAAGATCCCTTCCAACTTTATTTTATTGTTATTGTTATTATTAATGTAGGAATTTAAAGATTAAATAAGAATACAAATAGAATAGTTGTAAACTTATGGTAATAGGAAGATAATAGAATAAGAAAGTTTAAGACAATAGAATAAAGATAGGAGCTTAAGTTTTGTGTGAGAAAAACAAACACGGTATACAGTCTTCGTATCTGTTCTGTATCATATTTTTTAAAAAAAACACCCTAATCTGCCAAACTGTACAGTATTTACAGGGAAATAGATTGGAATTTTCCCTGGCATAGTACCTTAGATTTCTCAAAATCACTTTGATGAAGCAACCCTAACCTTAGCTTTCCAATGAAGTTTTCCCCATCTCGGCTCAAGTCAGTTGGATCAGTGGAAATCAGATAATTAGATGTCTTGCTCTTTTTTCGTTTTCGACCAGCCAGCAAGAAGATCTAGATGAAAAAAAGAGATCCAAAAAGCACAACACTGATATGTGAAATTAACATAATGTAATTTATGCAACATTTTTCAATGGTGCAGTACTAACTGCTTTCCGTGGGCTTGTCCAGGCAAAATAGGAGCAAGTTTTGACAATGCTCCAGTTTGACTGTATAAATTAGGCTTACTCAGGCAAAGCTGGAGCCCCTGGCAAAACTCGCTGTGGGCTTTGCTCTTTGCTTTACCTTCATAAACCAGCTTGCTAGATGCTGCCAAAAGTCACTCCTGGCTTTGATTTTCCCCCGAAAGTTGTTCAACTCAATCCACAGTTTGAGAAACCTGCATTAGTATATTCAATATTACAACATTCCTAGAACTCTATTTTTATAACTTAGGTTCTAGATATTTCTTACAGGGATGTGTAGATTAAAACTCCCTTTGAATTTCCTATCTGCATTTCAACAGAAGCTCTCAATTTTCTCTTCCAAGAAGTCTTCAGTTGCAAAACATCTGGGTTTTTCTTTTTCTTTTGTTAAGACTGTAGCAGGAAAAAGAATTAATCTTCTTGTCCCCTTTCCTATGATATACCTACACTGATTACATTTTCATAACAAACTATTTCTTGTTTGGCCCATTGAAACACGCTGACATTAGATCTCTCTCAGAGGAGATATATTTAGCATCCCATTTATCCATTCTTACATGTCTAAAAGACAGCCTTCTTTCTTATGAGCCTTGCTGTAATGTCTGAACAGAATCAGAGGCTTTCCTACCTATCTCACTACCTAAGACCTAGAGAGAGAAGATTGGCATTTTGCTATGTTCTCTTCTTGCAACCTGACTTGAGGTTCTCTTCTTGCAAAGATAGAGAAAAGACCTTGACATCTTCACTTGCTTTAAAGTAAAGACATTCTGTGCCATTGGGATCTTAATACTACATGGTTTTGCTATTCATCTGGATTATTTTTGTTGCATGAGCTTTAATGGGGTCTATTCTTACTGTACACTGCCTTTGGTGTCTGGTAGACAGAAGATGTGAATATTATATTAAATATAAACACACAAGGCAATCTTTACATACACACTAAGGCAAGCCTCCTTCCTTTAATCATGCACCTTTTTGTCATTATCAAGATGAAGATAATAGGTAGGGTAGAGACCACGATCCATTCCTCTTTTGTCTCGAGTGAGACGACACTTGATGGTCATTCCATGAGGAGCTGGCTGCAGCACAAATTCCTCCAGATTGTCCTCTTCAATGACTGGAGATGGTGGTCTTTCTTCTTTCTGTGGTCCAGCAATAAAAGAAAGAAGATTTGGTTTTTTTACCCCCTCTCCTCAAAATCTCTTATCCTAAGCATTCCAGCATTGCTTGTGTTGAAGATTGCAATGATGATACTTCATGTATCACATCCCAACCATCTGTGTCTTAGTCTATGATCATTCTTCCTGACATAGTAGGCCCCATAACATCCATAAGGTGGTTTCTGCTCTGTCTCTGATGTGTGGAGTCCTGAAAGCAGATGGTGACGCAGTGCTGGGTTGCATAAGGATGGGAGAGAATGGAATGAAGACAGAGGCTGGGATTCATCTCTTATTTAATTATTCATTTATTTCAAAAAATTATCTGCCATTGTAATGAAGTATAAGGGCTGATTCCAATATGTAAGAAGCAACTTTCATGTGTACAGGTAGTCCTCATTTACCAACAGCAGTTGGAACTAGCACTTCTGTTGCTAAGCGATGCAATTGTAAAATGAAATCTCGTGGACCATTCTGGACTTACAATGTCAGTTCCACTGTGGTCATTAAACAAGCCACCACAGGTTGTTAAGCAAGATATTGCATGACTGCAACTTGCAGACTTCCTGCAAGCTTCAGTGCTGACCTTGCTTGTCAGAAACTGGCTGTGAAGGTCTCAAAAGGCAATCACACGACTGCTGGATGCTGTGGCTGTTGTAAATTCATGCAGCATTTGAATCACATTTATGTGACCATGAGGACATCAGCCCCACTGTATCTTCAAACAGTCGCTGAAGGAGGCAGTCAATAAGTGAGGACTACCTGTAATTGATTCAGAAATAATGAGTAAAATCAAACAGAAATGTTAGGGAAGCCGAGAATGTGAATGTATAGGGTAGGAATCCTAATTTTTAGCTTTAATATGCCAAGAAATTTGGCTTCATCCTATAAGAATCTCTCACGAGTTACCTTTTTGGATTTCTTGGTTTTCCCTTTTCGGTTGGCATTCTTGTGGACTACCTCTTCCTCGCTTTCATTTTCCATGGCTTTGGGGGGAACTGTAGAAAAAAGAATTTAGTGACCACATGATGGTTATACAGATGACAGCAACATCTAGATTATCCTTTGTCAGCAATGTCAGAATTTCCTTTTCCCACTCTGCCACTGATGGAAAAGCAAATGTTTTTGTCATTGATCTGGGGATGCAGACTTTTCTTTATCTAATATCCTTCCAGCCTGTTTTTTTAAGTGATAAGCATCTTTACCAAGTGAATTCCAATATGCTTGTGATGGACCAGGTAACAAGGTTTGGATATTGATTTTAGTTTCAGCAAGTGGCCAGAAGTCCCTGACCATCTAGTGGGGATTTTTCAGAATCGCAGAAATAGAAGCATGATGGTTCACAGCTCTCACTTATAGCACATCAGTATCAAGCATTCTGAGTGTGAGTTCATGTGAATAAGTGGATGTTTCTTCTTCCGGTATTTCTATCAGCAAATGCTGCACCTACCCTTCTTTTTAGTTTTCTTCTCCTTGAGGCCTCCTCCTCCTCCAGTCTGAAACATTGACGCCGCACTCTTCTTTTTCTCTGATTTGGTTGACTTGGCATTGGATCTGGAATCATCTTCTGTGTCACTATTTTTGGGCTCTACAGTTATTAAGTGAGATGTTTTTATCCAGGGAGAAATTAGTCAGATTAGATTCTTTTTAATAATACATAATCTCCTAACAGATATATTACCAAGTATATATACTTGGTATATATACATATCAACATTGAAATCATGAGGAATTCTAAGAACTGCTTATACTTGCTTCTAGAGCAGGGGTCTTCAAACTTGGCCCTTTTATGACTTGTGGACTTTAACTCCCAGAATTCCTCAGTCAGTGCACCATTAATGCACTTATATTGAACAAAGGTAGGAAACAAATGTGCTTCATGTTTTCTAAGGGATTGGGGGGCAATCTGTTTGCCACTAAAGGCACCATGCAATGATACACCAGACACTGCATTTTATTGGTCTGGCTGAAGCCACTGGAGTCATACCTACCCTATTAGGGGATACAGACAAGTCTGGCATCATATCCTCTTTTCCTGTCCTTCCATACACATATAGGCACCAACCCTTTCCTCTATTTACACATGTACTTAAAATGCAGCCACATCTACTGCCTTCCCCAGATTTTCTCCCACATACACATGTGCACGTATTCATAAATGCAATTGTGATGCCTTCTCTGCCTTATTTTCAATAAATAGTATGCAGAATGGCCCATATTATTAGAAAGGTGCATTGTTGGGCCTGTAAGGTCAGTGGAGTAAATATAGATGTAAAGCCTTTCACCTTTGCTTTTGACACGTTTGCCTTTGTTATCCTCATTCACATGGAAAACAGAGGTTGAGTCTTTTTTCAGTGTCTTGGTAGTTCCTGCCTTGACACCAGCTTCAGCCTTGTTTCCTGTCCAAGGTGAAAGAATGAGAATAGGAATTAGATGAACTGAGACCTGGATTTATATATCATGCTATATACTAGACGTCTTCAAACTTGGCCCTTTTATGACTGAGGAATTCTGGGAGTTGAAGTTCACAAGTCATAAAAGGGCCAAGTTTGAAGACCTCTGCTATATACCATTATATGATTTGTTTGTACTGAGTTTAGTATCTATCAAAAATGCATAACAAATATTAAGAAATTTACAGATAGGACACTTGGCCATTGTACATTCATGATCATTCCTTTAGCCTCATATCAAACAAAACTTTCAGGTTTAAGTGCTACAGAATCTTGAAAATAAGTGATTGAGAGAATACAGAATTTGGAAAAAAAAAAGTGAGAGAGAATGAGAAAAAAAAGAATGCACACAAGAAAGAAAGATGTCCTCCTACAGCTGTTACATTCACTCTTGCTACTTTTTCCTTTGTACAGTCAAACAACAGCCAATTGTCAAACATAAAACCAGGCTGTCAACGCTGCTAACATCGGATGTTCTTACTTTGACAACAAATGGAAATGCAGCCATTTTCTCTATTGCTTTTAGGATTAGTTGCTGTTGGAAGGGGGAATAGGGATGAGAGTCCAGCTAGTCATAACAATAATAACTTAAGTTGTGGGAACCCATGGACATTGGGCCTAGAGTGGTTAGTGTTTTGGAGGGCTGGATAGCTGGGGAGAAAGCCCGCACTTCAAGCTAATCGGGGAATGTGATTTATGACTGTTTATTGGAGGATGGAATTGCACTTTGTTAGTTTGTATCCATGGGAGGGGAATTTAGTTTCTGGTTTCAACTATGTAGTGCCAATAATTTGTTTCTTGAATAAAAGATACTTTAAAGCAGTGGTTTCTCAACCTGTGGGTCGGGACCCCATTTGGGGTCGAATGACCATTTCACGGGGGTCACCAAACCATGCTGTCCGCCATTTTTTTCCCTTTTCCCTAGCTGTCCTACTCCCTCTTATTGGTGGCCACACCCACTTGGGGGTCACCGCAACATGGGGAACCACCACCAGATGGATCCATAGCTGGCTGACCGGCCGTACTCAGCGAGTGGTCCTCAATGGAACTGCATCTATATGGAGGGAAGTGTGTAGTGGGGTGCCCCAGGGCTCTGTTCTGGGCCCAGTACTCTTCAACATCTTCATCAACGATTTGGATGAAGGGATAGATGGGGAACTCATCAAATTTGCAGATGACACCAAGCTGGCAGGAATAGCCAACACTCCAGAAGACAGGCTTCAGGTACAGAAGGATCTGGACAGACTTGAACACTGGGCACTAACTAACAAAATGAAATTCAATGGTGAAAAAAGCAAGGTTCTACATTTAGGCAAGAAAAACCAAATGCACAAGTACAGCATAGGTGGCACCATGCTCAATAGTAGTAACTGTGAGAGGGACCTCGGAGTCCTAGTAGACAATCACTTAAATATGAGCCAGCAGTGTGCTGCAGCTGCCAAAAAGGCCAACACAGTGCTAGGCTGCATTAACAGAGGGATAGAATCAAGATCACGTGAAGTATTAATACCACTCTTCAATGCCTTGGTAAGGCCACACTTGGAATACTGCATCCAGTTTTGGTCACCACGATGTAAAAAAGATGTTGAGACTCTAGAAAGAGTACAGAGAAGAGCAACAAAGATGATTAGGGGACTGGAGGCTAAAACATATAAGGAACGGTTGCGAGAATTGGGTATGTCTAGTTTAACGAAGAGAAGGACAAGGGGGGACATGATAGCAGTATTCCAATATCTCAGGGGCTGCCATAAAGAAGAGGGAATTAAGCTATTTTCCAAAGCACCTGAAGGCAGGACAAGAAGCAACGGGTGGAAACTAATCAAGGAGAGAAGCAACCTAGAACTAAGGAGAAACTTCCTGACAGTGAGAACAATTAATCAGTGGAACAGCTTGCCTCCAGAAGCAGTAAATGCTCCAACACTGGAAGTTTTTAAGAAGAGACTGGACAGCCATTTGTCCGAAATGGTGTAGGGTTTCCTGCCCGAGCAGGGGGTTGGACTAGATGACCTCCAAGGTCCCTTCCAACTTTACTACTACTATTATTACTATTATTATTACTATTATTATTATGGGGTCACGGCATTAGAAAGGTTGAGAATCACTGCTTTAAAGCAAACAATGCCTTGAAGTTCTTTCGAAGAGTTTCATCTGTTGGAACCATGATACAGGCTTCACAAACATTTCAACAACTCATATAGGCACCTTATAAGTAAACCATCTCCCTTATTTATCATTTCCCAAATACACAGCACATTTGCAGTCTTATAATTTCTCAATAGTCTCATAGTGTTCAGGTACTTTATTTTCTTTTTCTCAATTATAAAGAATTTCTGACTTCAAATCCACTCTTCAGAGATACCGCAACCATCCCAATATATCTCTAAAATGTTCCATCCAGCATTCCTCTCTTTTCAGTTTCATCTCAAATCACTTGTCACTTTTATTTTTAATGTCATATATTCTGTTGGAGAATTCTTCTTTAATCCTCTTCACCTATTTCTGGCGCAACCTTTTTTCCCTCAAAATGACCCTGCACTTTGTTATTTTTCTATTTGTTTACTCACTTTGCAAGCCTCTTCTCTACATACATATTATATAATATTGTTTCTTTTCCTCTTTCTCATTTTAAACTATCATTCTGCTATAGGCATTTTCTTCATCCACAGCTCTTTTCACTTTTACAATTCCACCAAGTATAATTTTTCATATTACCCATCATGTAACTCCACACACTTCTATGGCACAGTGTAGTAGAATTATTTTCATTCTGTGCCAAGCTGCTTTCACAACCTCTTATATTCACTTTTATCCACAATTTCTTATATCCACTTTCCATTGATCCTGTTGGGATCCTGTAGTGCATTGGCTAATTTCTTAAAAATCATCATTCATATTTTTTCTTCTGGTTATTAAACTCTTATTCTAGCTCATTCTGCTTCTTTTTTCCTTTCCTGTTTATTTCACAAATTCCTCTCCTGGGTCTTTGAATTATCCAGTCACTGTATCCATGCTCAACTCATTCATGTCACCTACCAGAAAATATCTTCCTGTTTCCCCCCACCCTAATAGTATTCATTAAGAATGTGGCATAATTGCTAAAAAAAACTCTTTTGGTTCTTCATTATCATCATTCACCGGAAGGTAACATGCAAGTATTTTCAATCTATGGATTCTTATTTTCATGCAAACTCACAACAACCTAAGTACTTTCTGACATACCTTTTAATTCATTCACAATTAAACATACCTTCATTTTCCTATGGGTGTTAGTTAATTTATTCCTTTCCACAAAATCAAACTATTTTCATTCCATCCTGTTATTCCTTACCTTTCTCTTAGTTTTACATATATTCCTCAAATTATGAGTGTAACTGAGCCTGAAATTATAGTCATAAGTCTTTATGGTCATACATTGATGCCAGATTTTTCAGCATTTCTTGTGGTGATCTTTAAATTAATGCCACAGCTAAGTGAATGGTGGAGTTATTAAGGGAATGCTATGGCCATTAAGCAAATCCATTTTAATCAAGGGATGTTTTTTTATCAGAAAATGGAAGTAAAGGATAGAAATTGGCAAAAAAGAAAAAAAAATGTGGTCATGTCACCTCAAGTTACTGCAAATGACTGTAAAGGTGAGCTGGTTGCCAAGCTCTGAAAAGCTACCAGGTGACCAGGGGAGGTGCAGCCGTTGTAACTTCAAAATCAGGTCATAAGTAGCTTTGGGGGCACTTGTTATAACTTTGGTTGCTCAGCAACCAGTTATAAGTTGAGAATAACCTGTACAGATACGTAACTGCTTTTGTTTGTTTGTTTGTTTCCATTTGTCAAGTCATACTCTTTATCATGTATTCCTCTTTCATTTCAAGTTGCAATCTTCCATTTGTTCATCCTCCTCACTCAAATAACAGAGTAGTTTTTCAGACAGAAAATGATCTATCACCGGTATTTTGCATCAAATATCTGAACAATATTGCTATATAATCAAATATAATTACAGTCATTAGTATGTATCAGGAAGAACAATAAACATTAAACAATATTTAATTGAAATCCTCTTCTATTTTTCTATGACATAAGTGGTGCTGAGGACTATGACTCATGTTCTTGTCATCTTTCAGAAGACTGCAATTTGCTTCATGTGAAATAACTCAGAAACTGCAGCTGGTAGAGTGTGTCTATCTGCCTGCTTGCTGAGCTGAGTTCATCCTGCAAGTCAGTAGCTTTCTGGACCAGTATAGATGGGGCACTCATTTCATTCAATCAATCAGAATAGAGCTGGCAGGGACCTTGGAGTATTCTAGTCCAGCCCCCTGCTCAAGCAGGAGATCCTATACAATTTGAGGCAAGTAGCTGTCCAATCTCTTCTTAAAAATCTCCAGTGATGAAGCATCCATAACTTTTGAAGGCAAGCTGTTCCAGTGGTTAATTGTTCTCACTGTTAGGAAGTTTCTCCTTAATTCCAGGTTGCTTCTCTCCTTCATTAGTTTCCATCCATTATTTCTTTTCTTGCCTTCTGGTGCTTTGGAAAATAAGTTGACCCCTCTTCTTTGTGACAGCCCCTCAAATACTGGAATACTGCTATCATGTCACCCCAGTCCTTCTTTTTTCTAGACTAGCCAGTTCTTGCTTTCCAGATCTTCATTCATCATTCATTCTAGACTTTCTTCTCCAAGTACAGTCTGCTCATCTTGCACAGCCTAACAGAGAGAATGTATTAGGTGCCCACCTTGAAGGAAATTGGAGGATTGGGACTTAGAGAACTCTGTTACTGTTTCAAAAGTAGTCGCCTTCTTTTGGAGCATGAATTCAAGAAACATGTTTCCTCCCCAAGGGCATCCAAGCAGAAAGGTCTTTGTAAGTTTAGCAATAGATTTTTATGAACAGTATTAGTCATTGTATTTATTACTCTCCTTTAATTTCATTTTCACATGCTGTAATTTTCTGTACCATAAGCCAAATGGAGCCATGAGGGGTAGATTTCATAAGATACAAATATAGCAATAGCAACAGCATTTAGGCTTATATACCACACCATAGCACTTTACAGCACTCTCTGGGCAATAATGTAAACATTATTTGCATGTTGCCCCCAACAATCTGGACCCTCATTTTACCGACCTCGGAATGATGGAAGGCTGAGTTAACCTTGAGCCCCATCAGGATCAAACTCCAGGCTGTGGGCAGAGTTTGTCTGCAATACTGCATTCTAACCACTGCGCCACCAAGGCTCCTAATATGGCTAAATAAATAAAAAATTAGGTGAAGTGAGAGAAGAAGCTACACTTTTAGCTACAGAGGAGGAAAGTGGTTGCTCGCTTTACATCTTCTCAGTGTTTGCTGTTATGAATCTCTTTCCATGCTGTGTGGAACCTTAGGCCTATTTGTGGCATTAGATTTGTGGAGGTCCTCCCAAGTCACAAAAAAATTCCATTCTTTTTGTCTAACTAAACTTGCAACAGTAGTAGCTTAAAAAGTGAATTCCACAATAGTTAAACAATAATTTAACCAGTTTTAAAAACATGCTCATTGAAAAGTCCACACATCCAAAACACTAGAAAACAGAAACAAGCTTTTCATTCTGGCTATATCTATATCTATACAATAGATAGCAGCTTATGTGCATGATTTCCCAAAGGATTTTGGGGAATAGTTTTCATCTACACTTGAGAACTATAGAAGTCTCATGGAGATGAAACCGTATCTAAACCAACTTGTCTATGGCCCATAAATGACCCTGAAATTGAGACTCACCTTTACTTTTGGTCCTCCTCCCCTTAGTTTTGTCCAATGAAGTACCCTTGAGAAGCTTTCTTCTGGGCATTTTTGGTGCCTCTTCACTTTCAGACTTCCCCTCTTCCTGCCACTCTTCCTCCTCCTCCTCTTCATCTTCATCGTCAGAATCCTCTAAAAGTTTGAATAAGTAGAGGTCAATAGATAGAAAATAAAAAGGCAAAGATTTCTAAGCAATTAAAAGGGGGGAAAACAGAAGAAAAGTATTGCATACAGATAGATTCTGTTAGTAGTGGAGCTAACAATATTCCTGTTCTGTTTGGCAGTAGCTATTGTTATAGTGGTGAAGAATTTGTTCATAGATTACTGCAATTTCACAATTATATTTATCTCATTTGTTGCCTCTAGACGAGATGGGCAGCACATAAATCAATCAATCAAACAAACAAATAAATAAATAAATTTTGCATGATACTTTCACTCCATGTGTGCTATTGGATAGATTAGGGGCAGAGAGGTCCATTAGGTGTGCTCAAAAAACAGGATGGTGACCACAATTTTGTGATCAATGCTCAGCCTGTTTTTTTTTTTATGTTCTTTACCTGTAACACATTTTATATGTGATTACATTGTTTTGGCTGCCATTTTGATTTTTTTGACCATACCACACAGGTGCCCATGATTGGGGAAATGCTATACTTTCAGGATTTGTTAGTTTCATCAGGTTGGTGATTAAATTAATATTTTTAAATTTTCAAAAATTCAAGCATGATATTGGAAAAGCAGTTTCCACATTTGTGATGAGTTTTTTCCCCCCAAAGGATAAATCTGCAGGCAGAAAAAAAAAATGCCTGTATATCAATGTTTTTCAAGCTTGCCTGTGCAACAGTGTTTTTCAGACTTGACAACTTGAAAATGTGTGGGCTTCAATTCCCAGAGTGATGTCCACTCCCACTGATGCCCCATTCTCCATGCTCCATCTCCTTGCTGGTTGTAGAATTCTGGGAGTTGAAGTCCATACATCTTAAACTTGCCCAGGTTAAGAAACACTGTTCTACAGAAATGTCCTTACTTGTAACATAGGAGGCAGGAGCTGGTGGTACCTTACCATGTTTCTTTTTTGGTGTCTTGCTCACGCTGGAATGAGAAGAAGAGGTTTCCTTCTCTTTTCTGGGCTCCTTAATTAATCTGGCATACGTGATTTTCTCATCCTGTTCTTGTGGCTTCTCCTTTTTAGTTTTTTTTATGTTTCTGACAACAGCTTAGGAAGAGATACTAGAGTCAAGACAGGTATTTGAGAAATGAAGGATGGGGTATAGTGCAGGTATAATATAGACAATGGGATGGCTCTTGAAAAGCAGCAGATACCTTGACTTTTGGGATCAAATTGGGTTGTCCTATGTTTCTCTTGAACTGTGTTGATTATTGAGACAAAAAGATGGTGATATCCCCATTGCTACAGGATACTTTGGATGTGCCCTGGCTAATGTGTGTCTGAATGAATTTGATTACAATATGGTATCTGTAGCATTAGGAGCTGATCACATGATGGGAAAACAACATTTTCTAACAGGTTCAGTAGAGATTCTCATAAAATTAGGGCATCCAAAGTACCACACTAGCCATGGAAGGCCATTTCAGTCAAGATTTACCCATTGAAAATACTTTTCTGTAAGTACTCCTTCCTCTTTTGGGCAGCAACTACCTCTGGTCTTAGCATTTTACCAGTAAAACTAGAAACATCTCTTCTGGAGACAGTGTAAAATCATGGATTGGGGGGGGGGGAGGTAGTTTACTCTTACTCTTTAAATGACCTCTTCCTCACTCTACAGGGATTCAAATAGAAGCTAATTCTGACATGTGGATTTTCTTTTCTGCTATTGTCCCATTTTGTTTTCTTTTAGATGAGACAGTGGCAGATAGTTGGTTGAAAGTCCCATTTTTTTCACCTACAAAATTTAAACAATCTTTCTCCCAAATACTGAGCTTCTTTAACTATTAAACTGGTTTGATTTCTCTTCAGTGTTCCATTTTATATTATGACATAATAAGAATGAAATAATTTAAACAACCAACAAGTGTATTTGTAAAATTGCTATCATGTCTATACCACAGATAGTATGATTGCACAAAACTGTATCAAAGCTCTTGTTCTGGCTATTTTTGCTTCTTTTTCCTTTATATACTAAACTTATATGCGGATCTTTTTTTCCAGCAGATACAGTCAGGTGTTTATTGCTCTTCACAACAAACATATTTGTTAGCTCATTAAATGAAATACTTTATAGAGAATCAACATGGTATAGTGGCTATATCTTTGGACTAGAACCTAAGAGACAAAGGTTCAAGTCCACCCTCAGCCACAGAGCAGTCATTATGGTGAGGAAGGAATATGATACATGTTTACCTTGAGGTACCATATAAATCTAGCATGCATAGGAAATAAATATTAATTAGTAAACTTAAAACATTAAAATATCAGCAATCCTACTTTCATCTACCAAGTGCTTTGATAGAAGGAGATATTTTTGTCTATGTACTAAAATTTCATATATTTTTTTAGAAACCCAGGAGAAAGAAAAAGATGGCAGTTATACCCCTGAGTGTGGTTTAGCCATCTTTTCAAGGGGACACGGTGTCTCATGTAGTTAGGACACGGAGTCTGAAGATCATTGAGAGGTCAACAGCTCAGTAGTTCAAAACCCAAAAGTGCGAGCCATGTGACACAATGAGATCCCATCAGTTTGACCGAGCTCCTTCCAACTTAGCAGTTCAAAAGCATGCAAATGCAAGTAGATAAATAGGTACCACTTTGATGGGAAAATAATTTAGGCATGAAAGAGGTTCCCTCAGGTGTGCCTTGGGCAATGGTGATGTCACCAGCTAATCCTTTCAACTCGGAAGTGCCTTGGTAGGTGTTTCTGACAGAAATGTAATTGTAGTAGTTCCCATCACCCTTCCCCACATGCTTCTTGCCAGTGTGATGACCTGAAAGGTCAGTGATTCTATGGCCGTCTGCTATCAAAATGAAGATAACAGGATTGAGCTCCTCTTCATGAACCAATATCTATATTTCTGGTATGACAATACACTTTTGCTCCTTCCCTTACTATTAGCTGAAGCGTTATTGGTTTCTTCTGCAGAGCTTAATTTTTCCTGCTTTTTCACTCTGGATTTTTTAGGCTTTGCCTCCAATGTAGTGTTTTTCAATTTCTTTCTCAGCTTCTGCTCCAGTAGATGGGCAACTGCAGGTAGAAACAGATTGCAAAAAGTGATGGAAATGCAGTATCTTAATGATAAAATGGTCTCTACATTGAATTATGTAATTTTACAACATGATAACTATGCTACATAAAGAATACCATCAGTGCCCTCCTACAAAACAAGTATTTCTTTTTAAGAAACTTCTGCCCCCAATTATGTAGTACTGACCACAGGAAAGAAGTTCTGATGGCAGCTATGGGCATTTATTGGAAAAATTTTTTTAAATTGCTTAATAATACTCAAAGAGAAGATACAGCCTTTTACAGTATTACCATATGTGGGATGGACCTCTGTAATTTGCTATGGATCTTGAAAGTTCTTCTGGAATCTCTGCATCAAAGCATCTGATAGAGAGTATAGAGGAATACTAAGAAATAGTATTCAAAGTAAAGGTTCAAAACACCAGAGTCTGGGGTAGTGTGGGGACAAAGGACTACATAGAGAACGGCAGGGGATAAGGGCAGCAAACTGATCATTGACACCAGAGCTGACCCTTGGTACATTAGAATCCACAAAAACAGTTCCTTCCTTCCTTCCTTCCTTCCTTCCTTCCTTCCTTCCTTCCTTCCTTCCTTCCTTCCTTCCTTTCCTTTCCTTTCCTTCCTTCCTTCCTTCCTTCCTTCTTTCCTTCCTTCCTTCCTTCCTTCCTTCCTTCCTTCCTTCCTTCCTTCCTTCCTTCCACCAGAAATTAAAAATCTGAAAAGATTCTATAAATCTTGCCCTGTAGTGACAGTTTTCCTCCTGTTACTTATGTGTTTCCAACTTTTCTGCCTTCGATGTATTGATCTAGTCTTTATTGTTAAAAAAATACATGAATATATTTATGTTGGTCACAAAAAGCAAAATGAATGTTAAATTTATCCTGAGAACAGAATTTATAGATTGCTGGCTTACAGTATTTGAACTGTAGTTTTGGACGTATACTTATGAGAACATGTACAGTGGCAAGTGCTGGATGCTTCTGTGTTTGTTAATGTGTGTCCATTTGTGTCACACAAATGCAACTCATACGGGCTGCCTGAAAAAAGGAGGGAGATGTGGGGGATGGCTCTGAATCAAAACCTAAGAACAAACCGCTCTCTTATGATTGCATAGTGTGAAAAGATACTATAAGTCAGGCCTACTTACAAGTGAACAATACCAGGAGAAGAAGTAAACGAGTAATTTCAGAGAGGTTTGCAGTCATGGGCATATTACAAAATAAACAAAGCAGCCAATACATAAAACCAATCTACTGTTGCCAACCCCACAAGTTAAAAGTTCAGGGTTGATGCCTCTAAAATTATGAGTTGGTGAAAAAGATTTTTTTAAAAATATAGTTACTAGTTTTTCAAAACATATGAAGTAAGCCATAATTACATTATCATGATTTTCTTCCTAACCAACAGGGTTAGAAATTTAAAGAAGAAAAGAAAAGAGGAAGGAGAGGGGAATGGGAAGCAAAAGTAAATAAAAATAAGAAGGAAGATGATTAAAGCAATGATAATCATAATTACTTTCAACTCAAGTTAAAGTTTTTAAAATTTAAATGATCAAATAAGCTGTTATGACCCCAAATGATATTGGGCTTCATTCATCTCCAATTAAAAAGATAAAAGAAAACGTGATGAAAGTAGGGCTCTGACTATCTGCGGCCATTAAATCAGTTAAGGTTTTGGGTATCCCTTTGCTGCCATCTAGTGGTCATCCAGATTTTCAGTAGCCGAACTACATCTTGTGAACCCATCCTATTATGAACAGTGATGAACAGGACAGAGGCAACACCCATCTTGCATGAGCCTTCAATTATATTGTGCTGCACAATGATTAGCCCTACTTTGGTGGCTAATGAAACCTATGGAGAAACTAAACTTATTCAGTTTCATAGTAAGTCATAATAAGTAACATAATAAGTTTGGTCTCATTGTATCAGCTGGAATTTTACCATAGTCTAATGAATATGTATCACTGTTTACATATTACATGTATGTAATGATATGGTGCTGTATATAGGAATTTGCCAGGTATTTTTTGGGGAAAATCTTACGATTACATAAATATAAGTAGTCTAGATGCCTGCTTTATATCCCCATTACTTCTGCTAAAAACTGTTACTTTTATTAGGTAGTTTTATCTCACATTTAAACTGCAATACATTAAAATGACTTGTCCCAGATAGGGCAAAAATAGTTCATCAATTATTTGATGGACAACTTTTATTAAGGATTGTTAAATAGCACTAATGAAGACTGAGAAATCTTTGACATGTAGCACTTAGACATATATGGCTTCATAGTGCATAGTGTAAGTAGAATTATGCCTTTTTTTTCATTGTCAACCTTTACTCGGGGAATTTCAGCATTTGATAAACAGTAATAAGGTTTGTAACATTTTTCCAGGCAATTTTATTACAACTGCAAGAAATCTGACTATTTTTTTAGACTGTAGTTCTATGCATCTTCTATGAGATCTGCCTTTGCGTAAACAGGTTTGGAATTGCACTGAAAACCCTCCACCATAGTTTCTAAGGATGTATGTCCAATTCCTGTATTTGGAATCAATATCTGATGTTCTGCGTTTGATATCTGACAGTATTTGACAGTCAGTCTGTATGGAATCCAAGAAATATAATACTTATGTTTTTTTCTTGCATCAATAACTTTAAAAGCACATAGGCATATGAGAAGAAGCTGCAGCAATTCAGAAACATCTGGAGTACCCTTCATCAGAATGACATTAATATCTAAAGAGTGCTAATATGAAAAATGGTAGAAAATCTTAACTTCTTGCTACCATTTTCAACACCATCAAGCTTGCTTGAATTTAACTGGCAGCATTTATGCAAGTTAATCTCATTGTTGGAGTTGTTGATTTAAAAACAAATAAAGACAATAACGCCTAGAAAATTCAACTCCATAACCAAAGTTTCTTCCTTACGAGCATGCCAAGGAGTTTGCATATTTGAATAAGATAGAAATGATCCTTAAAAGAACTTACCAGTCAGAGTTCCAATTGTTAGCAAAGAAAGAAAGAAACAAGAAGTTGTTTATTAAGTTGGTCAAGTAAGGATATCTCTAGCAGGGAGACAGTACATTGCAACTGGGCTTAGATGTTAGAGCAGTGGTTCTCAACCTGTGGGTCGGGACCCCATTTGGGGTCGAACGACCATTTCACGGGGGTCGCCAAACAAGGCTGTCCGCCATTTTTTCCCCCTTTTCTTTGGCCACGTCCCTGGCACCCGGTGATGTATAAGTGGTTGGGGGTCACCACAACATGGGGAACTGTATTATGGGATCGCGGCATTAGAAAGGTTGAGAACCACTGTGTTAGAGAAAACACTATGGCCTCATTTGTTTATGTCATGTCAAGACCAGATGTTATTTCTCTCCAAGTGCAGTGATATTCTTTTCAACAAGCCAATATTTCCCAGCTTTTTGTTGCTCTGTAGCTACACTATTGGAACTGTCAGATATAAGAAGACTTAAGCAGTGAAAGTTATAGATTCCTATTTATTTATGAAATAGTGATGCCCATTTGTTAAAAAAAACCTCATATGAGGAAGCAGAATGTTTTAAATATGACTGCAGAGTCTGTATGAAAGCCAAATTAGACACAATTCCTGAAACATTATTTCTTCTTGAAAATGGCTATGGAAGGACTCCAGATACAACAACCCATTCCTTAGGTCCTTAGGAAAAGAGTGTGCATTTCTTTATGGGACAAGGTTAAAGCAGTTATGTCATCTTTGCCTTCAAATGATGGGGCTAATTAACTTGAGCAGGTATTTGCAAACTATAGAAAAGCAAGACTTTTAGACAAGGACAGGTTTAAAAAGTCCTTGATAAATAAGAAAACCTGCAGGCAATATTGTGTTATGTAGTTACATACCTAATTTGTGTGTCCCCCCCCCCAAGCCATGGTGTGCTCCAACACATAGGTTCTTTTCAAATACAAGGAAGCAGAAAGTATCAACATGCTCATCCACTATTAGATGACCTAATAAAGGGGTGGAGGTAGAAGACACCACTTTCCACCCATGTATCTTTCTTTGTTACACAATGGCAATGGCATAAGGCTGCAGCACATATGATCAGATATGAATACTCTCTCTCTCTCTCTCTCTCTCTCACACACACACACACACACACACAGAGAGAGAGAGAGAGAGAGAGAGAGAGAGAGAGAGAGAGAGAGAGGGAGAGAGAGAGGGAGAGAGGGAGAGAGAGAGAGAGAGAGAGAGAGAGAGAGAGAGAGAGAGAGAGAGAGAGTGAGTTGGATGATCTGAACCAGTGGCTGCATTTATTATCAAAGACTGTTTACTATTACTGGTTGCGAGAATTGGGTATGTCTAGTTTAACGAAGAGAAGGACAAGGGGGGACATGATAGCAGTATTCCAATATCTCAGGGGCTGCCATAAAGAAGAGGGAATTAAGCTATTTTCCAAAGCACCTGAAGGCAGGACAAGAAGCAACGGGTGGAAACTAATCAAGGAGAGAAGCAACCTAGAACTAAGGAGAAACTTCCTGACAGTGAGAACAATTAATCAGTGGAACAGCTTGCCTCCAGAAGCAGTAAATGCTCCAACACTGGAAGTTTTTAAGAAGAGACTGGACAGCCATTTGTCCGAAATGGTGTAGGGTTTCCTGCCCGAGCAGGGGGTTGGACTAGATGACCTCCAAGGTCCCTTCCAACTTTACTATTATTATTATTATTATTATTATTATTATTGTTATTATTATTATTATTATCCTGGATGTTATATAGGAGTTCAGATAAATGTGATTGGGAGATTAGGACTTGGTGTTTCATTGAAAGATGGAGAGAGGATTTGGTGATGGTGGATTGTAGAATTTAAAAAATAGGGAATAACTATTTCTTGCATCACAACAAAATCTAGAATCCATGTGAAACATCACAGGCTTTGATGACATAAGCTTTATGGCTGGTGTGTCAAAGTGCTGGCCTGCGGGCCAGTTGCATCATGTGGAGGCCACACCCACCCCAGCAAAAAAAGTCGCAACACTTTAAGACACGCCATGTGATGTGGCGAGTTTGACACCCATGCTTTATGGCTTCAAGGTCAAAATCTCTACCCCACCCACCTGCATCTTCTTTTTGTAGCATGTGACCTTTTGAATAGATGTGAAGCTTTCAAAAGTTTACACTGATTGGGCCCTTTAGATGGGTAACTGCGGAGTTATTGCTCCATTATGTGTTAAACGAGATTGTGAGACTATACAAGATGCTCTCAGACACCACAACACAGTTCCTCTGAGATTGAGGTCATTCAGAAAGACTTCGCAGAGGAAGCAGATGGATCAAGATTACCTTACAGTCAATCCCATTAGTCATAAACTATAATTAATTGTGACTGATGAAATGCAGGTCATGTGGTTGAGAAATATATGTTTGAAAAGTGGTGCTAGTGCAGAATCTGCAAATAAGACGTTGGTGATGTGAATGATGCCTGCAATCTTCTTTTATGAGATTAATTTGTTCAGATTAGCAATACCAACCTTATGTCTATGCAGGGAGACAGAAGGTAGCTTATCTAATTAAGGCTAGATGTTGCAACAATGAAGGATGATAAACAGGGATTAACTGTGGGGATTGTGCCCACCTATCCATAAAAAATGTGTGCATAGATGAGAAGGACAGTGATCTCATCATAAAGCTGTGAGTTATGGAATAACCTTGTGCAAATGCCTGTTGAAGGAAGGGTGGGATTGAAATTACAAAAAATAATGATTGGGATGTAGGTATTGGCCATTTCAACACCAATGATGTAAAGCCTGTTCAGTAGCAATGTATCTAGCCATGGTGATGACTGGATGATATTTTAAGACATGATACTTCACTGGAGTGAAAATCAACATTCTAATCTCAGGAGCCACACAATGTGTAAGCCACAGGTGTCAAACTCGCGATGTCACGTGACATGTCGCAATGTATCGCAACTTTTTTCCCATTGCCATTTTGGTGCAATGCATCTGGCCTGTCGGCCAGCAGTTTGACATTCCTGGTGTAAGCAGAGAAATTCAAAATAGTGTAGTAGAGGCATATGCAATATGTGAGGCATATGTGAACAATCAAATTAAAGGTTGAATAGGGAGATTTTTCTTACCTGTTTATTAAGTTTCTGAGGTGCAGATTCCTCATTTGCACTAATGAAAGGGGAATAAAGAAAAAAAAACATGAGGAATTAGGAAGATCTACTTTAAACTGGAAGTTAAAATGTTTATGGAAAAAACCCTGGGTCAATTTGATTCCTAGAGGTAGTTGATGTCCCTTGTTCTGGTAATTTTATTTCAGTTGCTCAGTCTTAGCCTACAATTCTGACCTTTTCATTATTCTGTTTATTTATTAAATTTATATAGGTGCCTATTTCAATTGAATGTGACTCTGAGTGGCACATTCCTTGAAAACTTTAAGAATATATTTAAGAATATATCAGATGTCTATTTGTTCTGCTTCCAAATCCACATGCTACATATATATATAGTGAGGATTACATATGAAACTTGAATGTGCCAGCAGATGGCAGTGCAGACATTAGTAATACAGCACACATACTGGTTATGCATTCACACAATGGGACATTTTGTTGCTAGCAAGTGAAACTGCAGATAGGCAATTATATGGTAGAATCATTACTCAATAATTACATTTGTACCATACTTCTTAGTCCTTCTGTCCTTCTGTGACATTGATTCCAATCCATGTTCTTCATCCTTGATGTAAGAATATTAGGAAACAGGTGTGCCAGAATGAATAAGTCCATGCCAAACTCTGATACTTCCACCTTCTTCAAATGTTAGAATGAACCAGTGGTGGGATTCAGCCAGTTTGCACCAGTTCAGCAGAACCGGTAGCCAATTTTTTGTTGCCCAGGCCCAGGATGGACTTCCAGAAACAGCATCCACACAGAGAACCAGTTGTTCACATATTTGAATCCCACCACTGGACTGAACCTTCCATATCTGATCAACTCTAGCTAGCATTATTTTTATACCAGATGCCCAAACTATTGTATGTTGCGGATAGCTTTACCTAGTTTGGAAGCAAGATACCTGAAACATTAGTTTCCTCCACACAGACTTTCTCTGGATTGCAAACAACTGGATCTCTTTGTTGCCACTTGTTGGCCATGCAGATCTGTGCAAATCACTATCACCTATGTACTCTGTTCTTCTTCAGAGGCCTTGATCTGCATACTATGTCAATAGAAACATATTTGGTGGGGCGAAAACATCTTGGTTATCTTACTTCAACTTAGCAATCTTCTACCCAAGAGGCCAGTTGACCCTTTCACTGATCTATGTTAGTTAGTTTCTGAACAAACTATGGCTTAATGCAATGTGTAAGCCCAGAAATTGTCTTGGATCCAGATTTGAGATTTAAGTCGATCATGACTGGTTTGTATTTTATTTTTAAAGTTAGTTTCCCTAAATATTATTAAGCTATTGAAGGATACTATATAGGAACTAGTGGATTTGAATTACCTGATGACAGTTTTTGAATGAATATTAGAAAAAAAAATTCTACCAATAAAAGGAGTTTCACTGTTGAGCTGTTGGCCCAGAAACATGGTGGGATCCCCTTTCCTGAATGTGTGCAAGCAAAGAGTGGGTAGCCCTCTCTCAGGGATATATGTCCAACTCTATGATTCTATTTTATTTTTAATAGCTGATCCTGGCAGTCTTTCTGTTGATTATCTTACATTGCTGCTCTATGAAAGATAATTTAAATAATATTTAAGTTGCCATGAGTGGTTCTTTTGCAGCAGAAGGACAGGATATAAACAAGCCTTTGCAACTCACTGAGTGGCCAATGCTATTGAAGAATCATGGGTGTTTTAGTCACAATAAGAATCAGATAGGAGAAGACTGGCTTATATCATTAAATTGTAGATAGAAGGGGAAGGAGACATAATTGTAGAAGAAAGAGGAAATGGTCTTGAAGGACAGGAGGAAGAGTTGCTATTAAGGCAATGATTGGATAAATGGGGCTTGAGCTCCAGCCAAGAAAGTAAGGTGAGAAAACATCTTAGACAATCCCCTCCCTAGTTCACACAAAGGGAAGGAAGGGAGAAGTTACCAGATTTAGTTGTTACAATAAAAGTAGTTCTGACCTATATAACTTTGGTTTCTTAGCCTGGATTGTCTTATATGGCTTATACAGCTTATATTTATGAGAATGTCATATTAAATAGTGGTCAGTATATTTATGTTCAAGACCCCAAATTACAATAATTACAACTCAGGGCATCTTGTTCACTCGGGCGGCAACAAATATTAGAAAAGCCATAGTTTTCTAGGTGGAAAAACCTATGTCAACAGTTTTCGCTAGCATTTATAAAATGCATTTGAATGATCCAGAGAAATTTGCATCCAATAGAAAAACTTATAATAATACCAAACTGGCAAGTTAGGTGAGTAATTCCATATTGCAAATGGGTGCAAACTGAGAGACACTATCTGATGAATTCATAACAGAGACGGGGGTTCAACCAGTAATCTCATATCCAAGGAGGGGCTTTTTCTGTTTAATCCAGCCTTTTTAAACTTGGTACCCCTGAGATACATTAAAGTACAATTCCCATCTCTAGCTGTCAGCAAAGAATGATAGGACTGATATTCAAAACATTTTGAAGCATGGATCATGGGCATAACACAAAGCAAAACCTGCCTCTTTGCAAACTATTTCAGTTTGCCATGGCTGCACTAAAACAGTAGCTTTAAAACTGTGTACATATCAATTTGGCCTGAAGTTATATATTTTTCTCTCTGGAGTCTATGGAGGTTTAATTAGTAGGCAAGTCAAGTGATCTTTAAATACCAATAAATGCATGCCATTCTAACCCCTCTTTTGCTCCCTATAGCTCCAAGGATCGAATTTAAAATAAATCATATTCTCATTTTTTAAAAAATAGGGGCAAAACATCACATGACAGCCAAATCCTTTAAGATAATTTAATTTTTCTTAAGAACGTACGGTATTTATTTAAGTACTCACAACATTGAATGAAATTGTACCATCATTGATCTTTGCCACAATCAATGGAAGATAAAAGTAGAGAGATTCTTCAGTCTATCAAGCTGCCTGTCTAGGAAATAGTTCTGAGGTCAGGCTGATAAATGGATGATGTGAAAGAGCAAATGTTCAGTTTAGAGACTGGAAAACTAAACTAGTTTCTCTCCCTTCACTCCCTTTTGCTTATTTTGAACTAGAACAACACATAGGAAAACCATTTGGAGTTAAGGTATTATTTATTGCAAATATAATTCGTAACGTTGAAAATCTCTAATGTGTTCATAGATGACTCTTAAAGAGCTTCCTATTATTTTAATCATGAGAAAGGTGGTGTTGAGAAGGACCTCAGGTCCAGTAAGCATCAATACTTTTTGGACTTGCTGGCCAGCTTGATTACTGCCCTCCCCCATTCCTCCACCCCGCATTGCCCCTATTTACTTTCCTTCCTGAGCATACAAGCAATCAGTAAGACAGATTTTTTTTCCTTTCCTTGTCCTTTTTCTTCTAGAGAAAGGAGATAGGCAAATTTATAGTACATAGTCATAAAAATGAAGACAAAATTCACTCAGAGATGGTGTGTCAACTGAAACCGTCGTATCTAAGTCTTACCACATTCCAAAACTGGAACCAACACTGAAAGAACTTGATAAAATAATCTACTTTCACTTTCAATCTAGATTGCCAATGTCATGCCAAAGATAGTTTATCCTTGCTTAAGGAGAATATACATAGACTTACCCTTCAGATGCCCATACTTCACGGAGGATGTCTGATTGAAGGGGCATTGTAATCAATGTAGAACCACTAATTCAAAAAGAGAAAGGCTTGGTCTTGGAAAGAACAGCCACTTTTTCTTGCAGTCGTATGGGAAGAATGCAACTTATTCTCCAGCGCCAGGATAAATAAAGCAATGCGCTATAGGATATAGGACTTCAGTGTCTTGTATTTCAAGCCAAATACTTCACTGTCTCCATCTTGTGGGTGCTCCTTTGTTTGATATTCTTATCACTCTGTCTTTGCAGACCAGCACCTATTATCACATGTTGATTACCTTCAGAGTCTGAATACACTTCATTGATTCAGAAATATTCTAAAGCAGCATAAAACTTCAACTCAGGGTTCTTCAGGTAACTAGCAGAGATGTTGGTGGAAATGTAGTGAAGAAAAAGGAACTGGAAAGCTAGGGAGATTATTTTTATTCCTTCAAATTACCTAATAGGATTTCAGGGGCTGATGGACTGGTGCTAGGCGAATGGGACATCTGTCACTGCAATTTATTTAAACAGGGCCAAGAGAAGATTATTGTAGCTTTGTAAGATTGTCTGTACTACACCTGTCAAATGCAAGTGTGGAACATGGCACTCTAACATGTGCAACTATCCACATTAGTGTTGCAGCTTAGAATATTTTTTTCCGCTAAAATTTCACTGGCAAATGTCTTTGAATGATAGCAAAAGCAGTGATGGGATTCAGCCGATTTGCACCGGTTCACCAGAACCGATACCTAATTTTTTGTCGAGTTCGGCGAACCGATTATGATAAATCTGTCTGGTTTTCATTCAACTTCCCTCCAGGCTGGGGGGGGGGAGGAATCCTCCTCAGAAGTCCAAGAGAGGAACGACAGAAACCAAACGAAGACGCGGTGCCTTCTATCACATCACTTCTCAGAGGTAATTTTGGGAATAGACACCTTATCTCTCTAATTTCCCGAGTAGTGCATACAGGAAAGGGGGTGAGGTCACCAAGTACTACCTTTTAGTATATCGTTTTTTTATACTTAAAATGGTCATTAGGGCAGAGAACCAGTTGTTAAATTATCTGAATCCCACCACTGAGCAAAAGTGATAGTTCCATAAAATCTAACTCCAATTTTATAGTGCTTACTTGGAACAAAAAAAAGCTATAATCTGGTTTAGAGATTCCTAATTCCCTCACAATTAGCTATCATCACAATACATGAGAACCACACTCAACATATAAATAAGATTGGGCCACTGCTTATTCATAGAAGATCTGCTTTGCTCACCAAATAACCTATATTAAAAACACCATGATAGGCTAGGAAAACTTGTTCTGCACTCCAAAAATCTGGGTGATCATTGGATGAAGTTAAGAATTTAATAAGCAGTCATCTGGACTTTTGCAGCCCACATCCAATAAATCTATTTTTCTGTCTCTGATTTTTTTTTTAATTGCCAGCTTCATCTCTTTTCTAGCTGTATTTGAAATAAAAATAGACTATGAAGCAATTTTGAAATAAATAAACAATGCTTTGATGTGGTCAAAAGATATATATTGCAGACCCCATCAATTGAAGAACTATGACTGGTGGGGTCTAGGAAGACAGCTTTCTCTGCCATTTCCCCCCCCCCCCCGTGTAATATATCTTCACTCAGAAATTAGGCAGGTCCTCACTTTTCTGGTTTTCTGAAAAGGAGTAAAAAAAATGGCGTTGTGGCAGTGCACGAAGAGCCCAGAGGATCACGTAACCGTGGGGCTGGCTAGTCCCCTGAAAGCCCTCCCTTCACTTTTTTAACTAATTAAAACTAATTTTAACAGTGTTTGATCATTCTTGCCACCTTTAAAATTTTTAAAATTTTATATGCTGCTTTTATATTTTAACATTTTATTGTACAATGTGCAGAGTCTCTCTCTCTGAGGGAGACATGCAGTTCAAATATATGCAAATAAAATAAGTTGATAATTCGTTGTGATGAGACGTTTTCCCATGATCCTCATGAATGAAGCACATGACTTCATCCTTTACACAAAAGTTCAGCTGCAAATTCTCTTCCTCAAGAAAAGCCATCCTTGTGAACAGAGATGATGTGTAAATTATACAATTACATGAATTACTTGTCATTTTAATTTCACTTCTAGATTATGGTCAAAGAGGAATGTTGCAGTAATTCTACAAAAGAGATGGATAACAATTGGCAGGTTGGTGGCTTTATATAACATGTGAAATTCAAGGCTGGATCCCAACAATAGGGCAAACTGGGTTAAAAGTAGGCACAGTCAGGACAAAAATGACCAATTCAATTCATTCAGTTCAATAAATATACAGATATTATTGATCCCTATGTATTCAATCATGCTTGGAGGACTAGGAAATCTACCTACAAAGCTTTCAAAAGGCTAATTTGAACCTTAGGGACTGAAGTCTTAAAGAATCCTAACAACAGAAGCAATTTTGGTTTGTATTAGCATTGCTGACAGCAAAATTTGTTCATTCTTTCTGAAGATGAAAGTTGCTCCCCAGACTGTTTATCTCCAAGTCCATAAACTAAATTTCTCTGTGCTGTTTCAGATTCCTCCATACCTGTGAGAAGCATTTCTGTTGAACTAGCTCCATCTGTAGCTATTTAAAGTAGATTTATTATGAAATCATTTATTATGATTTCAGCCTTCATTACCTCAGTAGTGCTGACTACCCTAGGTTACCATGAGACATCATTTCCCATGAATATTAACTATCTCTTGTTCTAGAATAGGAATATACATAATATAACAAATTATGGATTTTGGCAGTCATCCCAGTTTGATGGTAATGCAAAGAGATGAAACAGAAATAAATAACAGTGGATAATACATTTAACAGAATTGTTTTTATTCTAAAATATGCATGAAAAATATAGACTTCCAAAGTCAAATTTTACATTTAATAAATACTTTATAGTTCAATGCTTTTACACTTTTACTTTGATTTTGTTAGGGCCAGAGAGAAAATCTTATAAATATGCTAAACAAATGCAATAAGTTTATCAATTGCTGTCAGGATATTTCCATTCAAATTCACAGAATTAGTGGCGAAGTAGGGTTACATGGAAACTTCCAGACCTGCTTGAAAAGCCAGCTCTGATGTTTCTCCTGGCTCAGGTTGACTCAAAGGTGATCTTCGTGACTTGTTCCCACTTCTAGAATATGACTAAAAAATGAAAGATTCAAAGTAAGTATTTAGTATTCCAGCCTAATTTGATGGACTTATTTTTTACATATAATTTTCATGAAGAATTTTGATTATAGGAGTAAAATCTAATATAACCTAAACTTACAGAAAGAGTAAAAATGCAAAGAAAAAGGAGAGAAAAAAAAGAAAAAGAATATAATAAACAGAAAAGAAGTATATAAAGAAAGTAATCTCCAAACTTCATCACAAGTATTATATGTATTTATAATATTTATGAACTTACAAAGAGTAACTAAAGTTATAAACAATTAACCCTTCATTCCATATCCTATCCTTTATATACAACCCAATCCATAAAATATCATCTTTTCTGTCCTGGTATCAGCAGAAAAGTCCATAAAGTTGTTAGAAGTAAGAACATGCAGTATTTTATATAAAGATCCAGATATATTTGGGATATAAAAAAAGATATTTGATTAATTATAAAGTGCAAACAACTTCTCTTAGGAAATAGATCTTTTTGGGTTTTGCGAGACATTATATTCCTTCCTTTTACTTCTAACAGTCTTAATCTTTAATTCATTCAAATATTGTTATAGGATTTGATTTCTTTTCATTTCTTCTTTATCCAATCAGGCAGAATTCTTCAAGGCTTTAACAAGCCTCTTTGTAAATCCAATAGAAAAAAAATTATCAGGTCATTTTCTTGGTTTATCATTTGTATTTCTTTTTTGATTTTTGAAACATCAGTCAGTTTCTTTTGTATATCCAATGAGAAATCCTGTTCCAAATCATTTTTTTTGGCTTGTCATTTGTGTGATCCATTTTCAGAATCATCTCAGTCTTGCCAGCTAAAATTTATTCAACATCTGTCATTTCTTCAATGACTTCTTTAGGACAAAATCTATATATGTATATGTAGTCTATCATAGAGGCAGATGTCATAACTGTTGATATTGTGGCTACTCATTTCTCACTCCAGTCTTTAAAAGTCTCCTTTAGTATTTTTAATGTTATAATGTTTAGCATCATTTTGTAGTCCCAGTAAATTAACACAAAAGGTAGGCTTGTTTCCGCCCCCACCCCCCGAGAATGTTTAGTCCTCCAAAGTGGGCAGTTTTTAGAATTGTAAAATTGCTTATCTTTATTATGTCTCGCAAAAACCAAAAAGATCTATTTCCTAAGAGAAGTTGTTTGCACTTTATAATTAATCAAATATCTTTTTTTATATCCCAAATATATCTGGATCTTTAGTCCATTTAAAACTTCCTAAGATCAAAATCTTATTTAGTTTTTTGCTGTTTATTGCATATTCTTTAGGTTCTTAAGCTTATGATTAAGATTTTCTTTCATTCAGTATTGGGCAAACTCACCTTGTCTTTTCAAATTTGCCATTCTGAAGGTCTCTAATTATTTAAAAACAGTTAATAAGCAACTTCAGAAAGTATTTAGAAAGCCAGGCTAGCAAACTTATTGTCCTTTAAAAGTTGCCAACCGTGGTTGTGAGCAAGACTGTTATTCCCTTCCTCCCCTAGTGCTCAAACCCCTGGGAAACGCTGTCCTGAAATATCCTTGCAAGTAACAGCTGTTTGCAGCACTGTGAGACAACATCTTATTCACTCCTTGTCTGGAGATCCGGCAAAGAGGCGGGTCTAGTCATTAGTTCTTTCTTTTTTACTGCAGCCATCTGGAAGCTTCTCTAATTTGGTGGATTTATTTGAATGGGTGAACAACAATGCAGAAAATGTGAGCAAGCATGAAAAATTTGAAATCTGTCTGGATATAAATTCTGAATTATCTTCACAGTATATCAGAAGCAATGAGCTATGTTATATGGCCATCATTTTCCAGAACCCAATAAAAGTAAAATTGCAAGCTGTTTTTGTCCTCTCTGTGAGAGCCAATACTTTCTGCCTTAGACAAACTCTTTGTGTTTTGGCGGCCCAGTGGGAGAGGGAGGAGCATGCACAAATGTGAATGTGGCCGCATGTGCGTGCATATGTACAAACAGGCTGCAAGTATGCGCACCACGCAAATGGGGCTGCGAGCATGTGCGCGAGGCTCTCAGTGATGGTGGCGCCTGTGTGAGGCTTGTGGTGTCACTGTCTCCAGGCTCACGGCGATGCTACCACCAGCGTGAGGATTGCGCTGCAGCCTGCAGCGATGCCACTCCCAGTGCGAGGCTTGTGCTGCGATTGGCAGCAATGCTGCCCAGAGTGTGAAGACTGCGCCACCGCCCTGTGCGA